ATCGGATGCAAAGCCACTTGAGACCATCCTTCATCGGAGCAGCGAACCCTGGGTCCTTCGCGAGAACCTTAAAGAAGAATCCCAAACTACACCCACTTTGAAGCATGAGTTTGGGGAGGGGGTATCTGTGTTATAACACATATACCCCCTCCCCAAATTCATGCTTGTGTGGGTCAAGTTTGGGTTTCCAAAACCTTCTCCTTCGAAAGGAAGCCGTTGTGGGACAAGTCCTTGAGGAAGGTCCTGCACCCTGCCTCGACGATCTTCACTGATGCTACCGCGTGCGAAGATGTCACACTCAGGAGCTTGACGAGCTCGGGCGTCATCGACGGCAACATGCCGCCCGATCCCTGGACCAGTGCATGGATGAAGCCCAACTGTTCCTGATGGCCAGGCTTGTCCTGAGGAATGGACTCGAACGCGATGGGCTTGCCTACCTCGGACCACGACCACCCGCAACCAGTGATGAAGTCGAGCAGCTCGTGGACGTCGACTGGGTCGAGCCCCATCTCGAATCTGTTTTTCGGATGGGGCCAAACCTTCTCGTTCTCCGACGTGCTCCAGTATGCCAGCGAGTGCTGCAGCAGCAGTTCGCACAGCTTGTCGGACGTCGATTTCATCTGCGTCATATCTGACTTGACCTCGCCAGTGCTGGTGTCGTAGTGGGGGTCGATCAGCTGGTTGATCTCTCCCTGGATCGACTTCGCACGCTCCATCACAGAAGCCATAACTCTATCACGCAAGAACTGATGACAGCACTCTCAAACACAAAGTGTCTCGATCCGAAAGTGTTACGCATGATGGTGAACATGGTGATGGTGATGTCAACTTTCTGGGCCTAGAATCCTGAAAACAACATGCCCCGAACTCAAAATCTCATGTTCAAACGGCACACTTTCATATCCAGAAGACAGACCTCGTGCAACCTCAAGCGTCGAAGTAACATATCGGCAAAGAAGTTCTGGAGATATTGAAACCTGGTTCGGAAACGCGCTAACCTGAACCCCGAAGATCGTTAAATGCAATAATCGATCAGATCCAGGAAGATGAGTTCACCAAGTATAAGGTGACCTTCCAGAGCTACAGTCCTATGTTCACCCCTAAGATCCAGAACTACTAACCTCCTGAACCGTTTCGGAAACAAGGCGGTGATTCAAGTGGGGGCCTCGCAAAAGTTTCACACGCTTTCGAAGCTTCCCGGACACCTCCCAGGCATCTTCTGGGGGCTTCTGGGGGCTACCTCGGGCCACCCTGCCTCCAACCGCGGTGTCCCTGAACGACCGGGCCACGATCTGGAATGCTTCGGAGGGTGTCTCGGGGCCATTTTGGGTCGTCATAGGGCCTTCTCGGGCCATATTGGAACCCTGTCGTGCCTTCTCTGGGGTCTCTTGGACCGCCAGGAAGCCCTCTCGGGCGGTCGCGAGCGATTTTCGAACCTCCCAGGCGGCTGCGGACGCCCAAAACACCACCGTTTTGAAGCGTCGGGAAGCCGAAGAGATGAGAACCCCAAAATTCACCAAAATCCGCCAGAATACCAATGAATTTTGCCTCTTGGGACCTTCTTGGGGGTGCTCTTGGGGGCCTCTTGGGACGTTTTGAAACGACCTTGGGGGGCATGCAGCTTCTTTAGGGTCGTCGCGGACCGTCCCGGGGCTCTGTGGGGTCGTTTCGGGAGCGCGCTGGAACGAGGGAAGCCCTCTGGGGTCGGGCGGCTCTCGCGGGTTCTCTCCCGAATCGTCTGGAGGGCTGCCCGAGAAGGCCTGGGACGGGCCAAATTCGCGGGGGGGGGGGACTTCAGATCGGGGCTCGTCACTCTTAGGCTGGCCTCCGCCAGGCCAACCCGAGTCCCCCTGCACCCGAGTCTTGCGTCTCTCAGATCTCGGGGCCGTCATGCCCCTCACGGGGAGGCAGGGGCAGGGGGGGGGGCCGAAAAGGGGGGGCGACGACCGAGCGAACGAGCGACGACGAAAGTAAGGAGGGCGGCGACCTCGAGGGCACAGCTATTGGCCTCCTGGATGGGGTCGGAGTAGGCGAGGTCGGAGGATCGCGCCGCATCGCCGATGCATCGGCGATGCATCGGCGATGCGGCTCGAGGTGGGGCCCAATTTTCTCCACGCCGACGTCGCGGATGCATCGCCGACGCCGCCACCGCATCGCCGATGCATCGCCGATGCATCGCCGATGCGGCGCGAGATCCATCTGCTCGGACCCCAGTTTGAGAGGCCTCTGACAGCTGTGCAGGAGAGAAGCTCGGGGAGCTCCGCCGAGGAGCGAAGCACGCGGCACAGCACCGGAGGCGCGGCGGCGCACCGGGGGGGGGGCGGAGTGAGAGAGAGGGGCCGGCCGTCCCAGAAGTCTCGGAAGGCCTCCAGCTTCCTGGGAAGTTTTCTGGGCCTTCCCCGAACATGCTCTCGTCGAGCGTGCCCCTCTATAGGAGGAATCTTCACAAGTAATCGGTGACATCGTCTGGGCACGATGTTCGGGTTATGTGGTGCATTAGTTTGATTACGCTTTGACGATGTTGCATTCGTCTCCCAGGATCTGCCTGTAGGGGGACATGCCCGACCTAAGAATACATGGACCACACTTCTCAGGAGGCCGGAGGGCTTCTGAGAAGCCCCGCCACCTTCTGAGACGGCTTTCTCTTCCTCATCTGCCTCCTTGGGCTCGCCGCCGAGAAGGGGAGCTGGGCGTCGCGCAGGGGCGATCAACGAGGGGTGGCGAGGGCTGCAGAAAAGAAGCCCTTCAGGGGCCCTGGAGGCCCAAGAGGGGGCCTCCAGGGTCAGAGCTTTGCATGTTTCTCCCCCCCATTCATCTACCCCCTCCTCCTCCTCCTCCTCCTCCTCGTCCTCATCCTTCTCCTTCTCCTTCTCCTCCTCCTCCTCGCCTTCTCCTTCTCCCTTCCCCCTCCTCCTTCTCCTCCTCCTCCTAGTCCTCCTCCTCCTCCTCCTCCTCCTTCTCCTCCTCCTCCTCTTCCTCCTCCTCCTCCTCCTCCTCCCTCTCTCAAGCAGCTGTGCTAACTCGACCTGCACGCGCCTGGGCGCGCGCGCGTCGCGGGGCGCGCGCGCGCGATCGAGATCTCGCTGCGTTCGGCAGGACGCCCTGGGGCTGGACCAGTTCGCTGTGCTCGGCTTGAGGGCCGCCATCTCGGCGGCCAACGCCAGGGAGTTGCACTACTGCTTGAACTGCCTGTGCATGCGTTTCGTTGTGCCTGTCGGAGTGGCTTCGAAGGATTTGCTGACCTTGACCTTGCCCCAGGTCCCTCGGACGTCATGACATCGATGTGTTCTCCATCGACGATTTTACCGCCTCCGCTATTCTTGGAGGGAGCGGAGTCTGTTCAGCTCAAGGTGGACGTGGCGGGCCCGTCGCATTCCTGAACCGACTCGGCCTGTGATGGTCACGCCCCCGGCAGCTGGACTTGGCCGCGTCGCAGCTCGCAGTTCGGTGCTGCCGCCGCCGCCGCCAGCGCTTCCGCCCGCCTCTCTGGCTTCCGTGACAGACGAGTGCAAGATCAACAGCAAGCCCGAGAAGAAGCTGAACCGGCGTGCCAAACCGAAGTTCTAGATGAAACAGTACAAGATGCGCCCGTGTGCGACGCTTTCTCGGCCGATTACGCCGAAGAACCCGAAGCACCGCTGGACCAAGTATCTCAAGCAGCACAAGGGGTAAATGAAGGACAAGAAGCAGGAGGAGATCCCGAACCTGGAACCGAGGAAGATGGCGCTGCCGCCCCGTCCGCCTCCGCCTGGGAAATGGGAGGCCCTTTCGCAGGACCCGTGCGCGACGAAGGTGCCGTCGCCTCCTATTTCGCCAACTGCGGGAGTACGTGCGCCGAGGACGCCGACATGTCGCAGCACGTCGTTGGAACACTACATCGGGGATTCCTCTTCCCACGGGGCAGCCGACTCACCGGTGGAGGTGAAGTGCGAGAAGAAGGCCAAGAAGAAAAAGAAGGCGAAGAGGGATAATGAGAAACATAAGGGAAACGAGCAGGCTCGTTTCGAACCAGGGTTCACAGGTGGCAGTGTTACGGCGGATAGGATGAACGAGTTCTCCAGTGATGCGTCGGCCTGTGCCGCGAAGGAGGCGAGCTTTCAGGAGTTTTTTTTGCGCGATGAGCCTGGAGCTTGTGGTGTTGCAGATGTTGGCGATGGGCTGCCAAAATATAGCGTTGACGACTTCGAGACGATGGACGAGCAGAAACTCATTACTTCGGGCCACCTGCGAAAATGGCCCAGCGCGTCGTCTTCCTGAGGTCTCTCGCCGAGCCGAATATCTTCGCCTACATCCAAGGTGCGAGCTCCTATGGCATCGCGGGGCTGGGTTTAGCTTAGTGACGTCGGCCTGGTGTTCCTGCTGTTCCACGTCTGCTGCGACCGGGTGCCATTTCGGTCCAAAACCTCTTTTTCCCCCTGCGCGGGCGCCTCTTTGGGAAGTCGTGTGCAGCAGTGGTCCACAGCAAACTTCGTCGTCGCCAAAGGGAGGCACGGAAGAGGGCCGAGCGTGTTGCGGAGCGGGGAGGCCGCCGCTGCGGCGCAGCCGCGGAGACTTGGGCCTCGCGCTGCTCCGGTGCCCACCGCCGCCGCCCCCCCCGGGGGGGAAGGAGGCGCCCGGGGCACCCGGGAGGGGCGCCTTCCTCAGATGCTCGTATTGGGCACCTCCTCCCTCCCTCCCTCCCTCCCTCCCTCCCTTCCTCCCCTCCCCTCCCCCCCCTCCCTCCCCCTCCCCCCTCCCTCCTCTCCTCCTCTCCTCTCCTCCTCCTCCTCCTCCTCCCCCCCTCCTCCCCCCTACCCCTCCTCCTCCCCTCCTCCTCCCCTCCTCCTCCTCCTCCTCCTCCTCCTCCTCTCCTCCTCTCCTCCTCCTCCTCCTCCTCCTCCTCCTCCTCCTCCTCTTCCTCCCTCCGTAGCCATTTTGGCTCAAGCCATTGGGCTCTGAGACTGGCCGCGGTTCGCCCTTCCCCAGGGTTCTGCTTACAGTATCTTCCGCTTTTCTTCGGCATGGCGCTCATTCAGCTGCCCGTTGCGCAGGCAGTCTTCGGAGCGGCTCATGCTGGCATGGCCTTGGGCTTATCGGCCAAGGCCATGGGCAACTTGGTAGCAGCAGCGGCGCGGGGTGCGCTGCAGGGCGTGTCCGCCATCTCGGCGGCGCACGTCGAGGCGTTTGAGACGGGCTCCACCCTCGACAAGCTGGAGGAGGCCCTACACGCCGTGAAGAAGGGGGCAGGGATGGAGGCGACGCCGTCCGTCCCTGAGGCCAAGCAGCAGTTGCGGCAGTTGGGCAAGTCCGAGCTCGCGTCCAAGCTTGGCAAGCCCAGCAAGATCCGCAACACCATTGGGCACCCCCCTGCAGGCCTGGTGTGCGACATTGCGCAGGCCTTCGAGGAGGAGAAGGAGGTAGGTAAGCCATGCACTGTCTTCTCCACGGGCTGCCAGGAGAAGAAGTTGAAGGACAAGGTGAAGTCGAAGGGCAAGAAGATCGTGAACGCGCAGGTTGAGGCTGGGGTGTCGCCGAGTGGCGTGGAACCAAGTGCGACGTGGCGACCCCGCTGGAGTACGACGCGGAGCAAATCGAGGTCGCGGTCGTGGAGCCGCCGCCCAACCTCATTGACATCCTGCTAGAGAAGAGTCGCGAGGTCGTCGAGCTGAAGCGTCACCTCGAGCTCGCACAGGCTGCCCATCTCGAAGCGGCTGAAGCCACCGTTGAAGCGGGGCTGGGCGTCCAGGAGGAAGTACGCCAGCGGCAACTCGCTGGGCAGCGTGATGGGCTGGGTCAGGCGGTGGGGGTCCGCGGCTCCCCTTCAGTGGTCCCGCCGCTCTTCCCGGCTCCCTCAGGCGGTGGGGGCCCGCTATTCCCCTAGCATCGGCGTCTTCGGCATCTCGTCGGTGTGTGAGTTCAGGTCGCCAGCGCAAGGGGCGCTGTGGCCGCGTGAATTCACGCTCGGAGTGCGGAGGCTCGTGTTCCTCCTGCGCTCCGCCTGCTGGCTGCTCGGCGTCGCAGAGGCCCGTGTTTCTCCTGCGGCCGAGCAGCGCGACGAATTCACGCGGATGCGGAGGCTCGTGTTCCTCCTGCGTCCGCCTGCTGCTCGGTGGCGCGGAGGCTTGTGTTCCTCCTGCGACCCGAGCAGCACCGCCCTGGTGCTGCGGAGGCTCGTGTTCCTCTTGCGCTCCAGTGGCTCGCGAGGACGGGACAGGGTCCCAATTGGTCATTCCTGGTCATTCCTCCTCCTCCTCCCCCTCCTCCTCCTCCTCATCATCCTCCTCCTCCTGCTCCTCCTCCTCCTCCTCCTCCTCCTCCTCCCGCCGCCCCCCGCCGCCCCCCGCCGCCCCCCGCTCCCCGACTTCGGTCTACAGGGGCCTGTCGCTGCCTCCGCTTCGGGGCACAAAGGATCGACTGCACGTTAGAGTGGCCCATCGCCGGAGGGGCCCTTGGCGCGGGCCCACTGGGGCCCCCCGATCGCCGAGCGCGACGCGGCAGTAGCGCCTTGCGCGTTTGTGCCTGCCCCCCCACGGCCCCCAAAGAACCGCGCACCGAAGGTCACCCTTACCCAGGGCCACTCTTGCGGGTGGTCGAAAGAGACGGGGGTCGATGCAAGCGGGGGTCAGTCAGAGCGCAGGGTCTTGCAGGATCTTGCAGAGCCAGGGGTGCACTGACCCGGGCTTGCGCGCAGGATTTTGCGGCATCTCGCAGGGTCTTGCAAGAGCCTGCAAAGCCCGACTGGCCCTGGTCTGGATTGACCCCGGTCAGTAGATCCCCGACCGCTGCCCCATATGCCCACGCAGCGCCAATGTCCCTTCCTTTCTACTTACCAAACCACCCCAGCCTAACCCGAAGGTCCAAGACCCTCCCGAATCTCGGGTTTGGGGTGTGTGCGGATTCGTCGCGTTTCCTTCCTGTTCTGGAGTGCCCCCCGCCGGAGATTGGCGGTCCCAGCGGTGGATTCGGGTTCGGTCGGGGTGGTTTGGTAGGTAGCCACCGCCGCCTTCGGAGCTCCCGCCACGGGGGTCGGCGCCGATGGGGGTCCGCCAGCCCCCTCTGCCTTGCCCGGGTTTCGGAGCCACGCGGGGCCGATTCCCCCGGTCTGCTTGCGGGTTGCACCCAGTTTGCCTGGCGTTTCTTTGAACCCAGAGGGTCGTCCAGCGAATAATTTGCGCTGGCAGCGCAAGTGTAACATTCGGCGCAAAAAACTTGCGCTGGAAACGAAGTCGATCTTGCGCTGACATTTGTCTTTGGCCACCGCAAATTTGAAGGGCAAGTGTTCGATGACCGTTGCTCTGGACCAGCGCAGAATTTGCGCTGGCACGTGCCCGACCAGCGTAAGTTTGAGCAACATCCCAGCGCAAGTTTCCAAAACACAGCGCTGTTTTTCTTTGCAAACTTGCGCTGGGATCGTGCTCAAACTTGCGCTGGTCGGGTCCACGTGCCAGCGAAAAAAACTGCGCTGGCCCAGCGCACTGCGCGCAGCGGTCACCCCCCCAGGCCGTGAGGCTGCAACGCGAGGAGGAGGGGGGAGGTGGGGGGACGGGGACGAGGACGATGCCTATACAAGCCTCTCTCTCCTCTGGTTTCAGGCGGTAACAGCTGGACCCCAAACAGTCGGATACGATGCTGTGGATATGTGTATATGTGTATATATATATATATATATATATATACAAGTCGTGCAATCTGGTGATGCAAGCGTGGTTCAAGCTGCGTGGTGCAACGTGGTGCAACCTCGACGGACCCGCCACCCGCAGCGCGCGGCAACGAGGCCGCAACGGGCGGCAACGCGGCGAAACATCAACGGATCCCCGCGGCAACGGGGCGGCAACGGGCGGCGAATGCGGCGAACCCTTTACGGCCCCGTCCAAATCGGCGGCAGCTGCCCCCCGACCGCGATCGACGACTCGCGGGCGGCCACGAGCCATGGGCCGCGGGCCGCGGGCCGTTCGATCGGGCCACGAGCGGACGCGCGGCCTCTGCGGGCCGTGGGGAAAGCTCCCCCTTGTTTCTAGTTATTATTGTTTGTTTTTCTTCGTCTTCATTTCATTATTATTACTCGTAGTAGTATCCTTATTGTTATTATTATTAGTATTAGTCTTCGAAACGCAGGCTCGGCGCCCTCGGACCAGGCGCTCGCGGCGCCGGCCTCTCCCGCATCGACCCTGGATCGCGGCGTCGTCTGAAGGAGCGCGGGGCGGGGGAGCGGAGGGCAGCGCGGGAGGGGCAGGGAGGGAGGGAGGGAGAGGGGGGGAGGGAGGGAGGGCGAGGCAGGGACGATGGAGGCGAGGGCCCGCAGGTCCTCGAGGGAGAGAGAGGGAGGAATCAGCAACCTCATTACCAACAAGACCATCACCATCTTCATCATCATCACCACCATCATCATCACAATCATGATCAGCCTCAGCACCAGCATCATCATCATCATCATCATCATCATCATCATCATCATCATCATCATCATCATCATCATCATCATCAGCATCATCATCATCATCATCCGCAGCATCATCATCAGCTTCTTCTTCATCATCATTGTATGCATCATCATCTTCCGCAGCCAGTCTGGATTACCGATGGCTGTCAAATCATTATTATTATTTTTTCGAGCTCAGGCTCGCGGCAGCAATGGGTGGAACGTCCAGCTCTTCGAATGGCGACCGCGGTCTGAAACTTTGCGTGGAACGCGCAGCCAGCCGCTCCGCCGTCGGCACCGTCAATGGGAGGTACCACCGCCTGCCCAGGAAGCTCGAGGATGACTACAAACGAACTGGCAAAATCCTGGGAATGGGATACAGTGGCCAGGTGTTGTTGGCAGAGGGCAGGGATACCGCCAAGCTGTGCGCGGTGAAGGCCTTCAAGCTGCGCGGCATCCCCAAAGCGAAGAAGGCCACCCTCGAGAGCGAAGCCGAGATATTTCTCAGCATGGACCATCCGCATGTTGTCCGGCTGCTTGACTGCTATGAGTGTGAGGAGTTCCTGAATCTTGTTATGGAATGCATGACCGGAGGCGAGCTCTTGAAGCGCGTGGTGTCCAAGAAGAGGTTCTCCGAAAAGGACGCCGTCACCACCACGTGGCAAATGTTGTTGGCAATTAGCTACATACACTCCCATAACATTGTTCATAGAGACATCCAGCAGCTTTCGGCACATCCCGCCTCTTCCTTCTCCGTCCCCTCCTCCGTCGCCCTCTTCATCCTCCTTTTCCTCTTGTTTGCGCTGTTCGGAGCCTTTGATTTCGCTTGGCTGCCCGCTGGACGACACCTTCTGCGACGCCCTCGACGACGACGACGACGACGACGACGACGACGACGACGACGACGACGACGACGACGACGACGACGAACCTTCTGGGAGCTCGGAGCTGCGGACCGCCCCGGTTCGTTGGTGCGCGGAGCGCTCTCGACCCCCCCCCCCGCGGCGCCGCAGAGGGGGGGGCGGGGGGGCGAGATCCACGCGCGGGCCGCCTGCGCCCGCCAGGCAGGTGTCGGTCGGGCATGCCCCTCTACAGGAGGAGTGTTCAGCACGAGTAGACCAATTGTCTGGGGACGATGGTTTTTTCAAACTATGTTTGGGCATGTAGGGGGACAGGCCCGACCTCAAGGTAGTTTCAAGTCGGGCATGTCCCTCTGAAGGAGGAGTGTTCAGCACGAGTAAACTAATTGTCTGGGGACGATTGTTTTTCAAACTATTGTTGAGCATTTTGGGAGTATGTTTCGAATATGTCTGATTTTTCGCCCAAAATTCCCTTGTAGGGGGACAGGCCCGACCTCAAGGTAGTTTTAAGTCGGGCATGTCCCTCTGCAGGAGGAGTGTTCAGCAATAGTCAAAACAATGGTATGGGGATGATGCTTCTATTATTGTCTATCTTCTTGTGACCATTTTTCAGTTGTCCTCCAGAATCCGCCTGCGGGGGGACATGCCCGACCTGAAGATAGTTCTGCGGGGCCGCTGAGGAAGGCCGACGGGGGCGCGACACGAGGAGGAGCAACGAGCGGACCAGGAAGGACGAGTGCGGGCAATGTCTGTATCCGCATCCAGTGCGTCTTGGAGTTTCGCGCTATCTTGCCCCAAAACATGAGGTGCACTGGATGTGGGCTACAATCTGGCCCCAAAAGGCTAGATATCATCCATGTCCAGTGCGCCTCGGCCTTGCGGCGCCCCTTCCACGAAAGGCCCAGGCCAGTGGGGAGCCCAGGCCCTAGGCCACGGGAGGGCCCCCCCCCGAGCGACACGGCGCTGGTCGAGGAGAGGAACAACAGGGCAGGCCCGGGACAGACCAGCGATGCTGCAGCACACCCTCGCGTGCCGCGCCCCCTCTCCCGGGCCCTTGCGAGCAGTTCTCTGCGCCCCTCCCGAGCCTCTCTCTCCTCCGCCTCCTCGCTTCTCCGCCTCCTCCTCCTCCTTTTCCTCCTCCTCCTCCTCCTCGTCCTCCTCCTGCGTTCCTGGCGCCTCGCTACCTCAAGCGAGCGGACTGGGTTGGACCTCCAGTCCATCGTGGCGGGCTCCTCCCATGGGACCAGGCTGGGTCAGATCTACCTGTGCCCCATCCTGGAAGCCGCCCAGCAGGCCGCTGATGGGGCCAGCATCTGGTCTTACATCGACGACACGGTCTGGCGTGCTGAGTGCCCCCGGGATTTCGTGGAGCAGGTCATCGTGGACGCGGGTGTCGCCCTCTTGGAGGGATGTCCGGCCAGCCGCCTCGTCGTCTCCACCAAGACCGCCCTGGTCGCCTCGACGCCAGCACTTCGTAGGCGGGTCTGGGATAGGCTGCGGCGCCGAGGAGTCCCCGGCCATCAAGCCACCGACATGGTCGACCTCGGGGTGGACGTCGTCACGGGCAGCCGCCGCGTCCAGCGGAAAGCGTCTTCCCGACGGGCACGGGCGGTTCGGCGAGCCGGACGTGTCCTCCGCCTTCGGCGCTCTGCGGCCAAGCTCGGCAAGCGCGGCTCCGCCTTCTTTTCCACGGGAGTGAAGCCGCAGTCCGTCTACGGCCACGAGGTGTGGGGCATCGCCCCATCCAACGTCACCAAGGGGCGGCGGCTTGCTGCTGCGGCCGCGGCGGGCAAAGGCCCTGGGCGCTGCCTGCGCCCGGCGATGGCGGTCCTCTACCACGCAAAGGACCCAGGCGTGCAGCTCCGCGTCCAGCTGGTGCGGGAGTGGCTCGCGCAGTGGCTGAGTCAGCCGCAGCTCCACAAGCGCGCGCGACGCATATGGGCCAGCGTCCACCAGAAGCTCCTCCGCAGCAAGGGAGCCAAGTGGCGTAAGGTGTACGGGCAAGTCGCGGCGGTCATCGCCACCCTCCTAGACGCTGGCTGGTCGCCCTTTACGGCAGGGCACTGGAAGCGGCCCACGCCCGCCGGGGTCGAGCAGTGGATCATCCCTCTGGCGGACGAGCAGGGCAGCCTCAGCCTCGATCTCACGGAGTTCTCGGAGTTGCTCGATGACCTGGAGCACGACCTCATCCAGATTAGGTGGAAGGAGGCAGCTCGGCACCTGCACGGAGGCGGCCTCGAGGACGGCGGCGACGTCTGGCTCGTCAAGCGGGGGCTCGACCACTGCGCGAAGGAGGGCAACTGGCAGGTGAGGGCCCTCAAATACCTCGTCGTCGTCGGTGGGCAATGGCCCCGCGCCCGCCAGGTGGAGGCAGGCCACCTCGGGCCTGACATCTGCCGGCGCTGCTTTGGCGCGAGGGAGACCCTGGAGCACAGAATCTGGACCTGCCCCTGCAACGCGGGCAAGCCAGCCTACGACCAGACCCAGCATCTGGTCAGTAAGACCTTGGCGGGGGTCGAGGCTTGCCCAGCCCTCTGGCTCAGGGGCATCGACCCCAGGGCCAACGCCATCCCCGCGGCACCCTCGGACGTGGAGACCATCCTCCACGTGGGCCTCCAGCGGGCCCCGGGCAGCCTGCGCCCGCCAGGACCTCTTCATCTTCGGGGGCGCCTCTGGGGGCGCCCGCGCGGAGGGTCCGCGCCGGCGACGCGCCGGGGCGGCCATCAACGCGCTGCGGGCATTCAGCCGCGGCGCGGGGCGGGAGCTTGAGGCGGGCGCCTGGGCCCTTCTCCCCGGGCGCCGCCAGACTGCGCCGCGGGGGGGGACGTGCGCCTTCATCATTGCCCTCGAGCTCGTGGACTGCGGTTTCGCTTTCGTCACTGACCACAAAGCCCTGCTCACGGCCTGGGAGCGAGGCCGAGCCCGGCGCGCGGGCAAGGGCAAGAACGCCGACCTCTGGGCCAGGATTGGCCGCGCGGTCCAAGCTAGACCGCGCAGGCGGGTCCGCCTCGTTTGGGCCCCGCCCCGCCAGGGCGACGACGACGATGAGCCCATCGTGAACGTCTACCTGGCCGCCGGCAACTGCTGCGCGGACCGCTTGGCGGGCGGTCGCTGCGGCCCAGGCCGCCAGCCAGCTGCAGGGCGCCGCCCAGTTCATCGACTATTGGGACGTCGTGGGCTGGCAGATCCGACGACGGGCCAGGCAGGCCCCCATGGGCGCGGCCGGTGGCGACCCATGGCTAACGGAGAGGCCGGCGGCCAGAGCGGCCCCGAGGCAGACGGCCCTTCAGGAGGCCATCGGCTCCTCTCCTCATCAGCTCGCGGCTGTGGGAGCCCAGTGGAAGTGCATCCAGTGCCGCGTCTTCTGCTCCAAGTCGGACCTCCACGACTTCGCGGCCGCGGAATGCCGCCGCGTGGCCCAGCAGATCGTCGCCCGTGATCAGGCACTGGCTGCGCCGCACCTCGCCCGTGTGCCCATGGGCCATCAGGAGGTCCACCCTTCCCACGACCTCCACGAGTGGCCGCGTTTCTCGCTTTTCTTCTGCATGGAGTGCGGAGCCTACGGCACGGTCATAGGCAGATCGCTGAGGGAACGGTGCGACAGGGCCCCCACGCGCAAGCAAGGGGAGATGCTGCGCAGGATCCTGGACGGGCGCCACCCGTCCTACCAGGGCCCCCCTGCGGCCGCGTTGCGGGCCTTGGAGGTGGAGGCCGCCGCGGATTTTGTCGCCCATGGGGGCCTCGCCCCCCGCGAGCCGGCCGCGGGCGCCCCCGCGATGCACGGCGACGCTGCCTTCGCCGAGGTCCTCCGCCAGCAGGCCTTGCGCGCGGCGAACCCCCCTCGCGCGGGGGCCGCCCCGAGCCCCCCCGCCGGGGCGCGGGCTCAGGGGCAAGCAGCCGCCCCTGGAGAGCCCAGAGGGCAGGGGGGGCCCGCCAGCGCGGCGCCCTGCAGGGGGCCCCCAGGCTGGGCGACGCCTTGGCAGCCAGCGGAAGGCCCAGTCTTGGCGCCCGCGCAGCGCGCCGCCGGCGGCCCCTTCCGCTGGAGATTTTGGCTTGGATCGCGGCCCGCCCAGCGCCGACCAGCTCGGCGACGGTCGCTCTGAGCCAGGGCGCGCGGTGGCAGATGGCGGGCCTGGCGCCGCGGCCGGTGTCGGAGGCCCTCCTGGCGCCCGCCCTGGAGCTGCTGACGAGCTCGAGGCCGACGGCGCGGGCGGTCGCAGCAGCGGGGGCCCCCCAGCCCTTGGCCCTCTGGAGCTTGCTTTTGCTGAGGCTGCCGACGCCCTCCAGCGGGAGCAGCGGCGCATCCGGGACAAGGTGGCCTACCTCCTCGCAGCGGCCACCTCAGGAAGGGCGCGGCCATCCTCGACCCCGCCGAGCTCGGCGAGGACCAAGGAGGAGCAGGCCCAGGACGCGCCCGCGGCGGCGGCGGCGGCTGACGCGGCCAGCGCGCCGGCGCCTCGGCCCTGGGCGACTGCCGCTGCCGCCCGATCTCGGACGCACTCTGGCACGAGACCAGGGGTTGCGGATGCTGCGCGGGCGCGGCGGGGGCGAGCGGCGTCATTGGCCCCGCCGCGCGCTCGACGTGGTGTGGCGCCAGAGGGCGCGGAAGGCGAGCCGGCAACCTCCCCGCATTCCTTGGCGGCCCCTGTCCACCCCCCATGCGGGGGGGGAGAGGGGTCGGGGGGTGAATGCCTTATTGTTGAGGCAGGCACCGTGGGCACTGGCTCCGCCGTGAGCGGCGCGGCGGGAGGAGCCCCCCGCACCGCGGGCCCACCCGAGGCTCGGCGGAGGCGGCGAGGCAAGGTGGCGCCCCCAGGCGCACGGCCAGGTGGGCGGAGCGGGCCTGAGCCCGCCATCGTGGAGGACTGAGGGACTGTGGGGTTCACTTGGTTCCCACTGCTGGATGCCCTGTCGGGTGCGTGGTTGTGGGAGCCCTTTGTGGCTGTGTCTAATATGATCTTCGACGCGAGCGTGCCTGCACAGGTCGAGGTCGCAGCTGCTCTTCCTGGCGCCGGGCGTCGCGGCGGCGGCGGTCCAGGCGCAGCCCGCAGGGTCTGCCGGGCGCCCGCGGGCGCGCTGGGCGGGGCGGCCGAGCGCCTCACCAGCCGGTGAGATCGGGCTTCGGATGCACCCGCAGGGCTCTGATGGAGCTGCCCGCAGGACTCTTCGAGCGCCGCGCGCCAGCGACCCCGTATAGCCGCTTTCCGTGGTCGCGGCTGACGCTTCGACGCTGGGAGGTATCCCTCGAGTTGCGGTCGGATGCGTCTTGGGCTGCCAGCTCGGCTCCCTTCTTTTTGCACTCCGCCTCCGCATCCGCGACGGCCTGCTTAGATTTGGACTCCGACCGTTCCAGCGTGGCGACCTCTGGAAGGGTGTCTGCGTGAATCCTCCGCAGGTCGTACAGCGTCGGCGGAGGCCTGCTTAGATGTGGACTCCGACCGTCAGTGCGGCGACCTCTGGAAGGCTGTCTGCGTGAATCCTCCGCAGGTCGTCAATTGTTGGCGAAGGCCTGGTTAGATTTGGGCCACGACCGTCCCAGCGCGGAGACCTCTGGAAGGGCGTCTCCGCGAATCCCCCGCAGGTCGTCAAGATCCGCCTCTTCCCTCGGCCGACGCTGGGCGGCCGCTGCTTGGCGCCGGGCCTCCGCGGGGGAGCTGCGCCGAGCCGCAGCGTTGCGCGCCGGAGACCGCCGCCGCGGGGCGCGGTCGCCAGCGGCTGCCGGGCGCCCTAAGGAGGAGGAGGAGGAGGAGGAGGAGGAGGAGGAGGAGGAGGAGGAGGAGAAGGAGGAGGAGGAGGAGGAGGAGGAGGAGGAGGAGGAGGAGGAGGAGGAGGAGCCGCAGCAGCCGCAGGAGCTGGCGAGGGGGTCGGCACAGCAGGCGCAGATCGGAGGCGTCGGTGCGCTGTGGGGCCCCCAGCCGCTGGAGCTCCCCTGGCAGGGCTCGCGGCTGCCCCCGCAGGGGGCGCTCTGGCATAGCCTCTGCTGGCGGCGTAGTTTACCAGCCTGGAACATATACCTATCCCTATGCTGGGCACCTCCTTATCACGATGCCAATCTTAGGGGTTCCCTTATTTTTGAGGGCGAATCCCTAAGATTGTCATCGCCTTTTGGCGTGTCAATCTTAGGGATAGGGATACGTTCGAGGCTGGTTAGTAGTGGCCAGAGGAGCACGCCAGTCGCCTCGGGCGCTCCGCTCTCGCGGCCGCCGCGGGAGCGGCCCTGGCCGCCGGCGTTCGTGAAGGAGGCGCCCAGGATCCAGGCTCGAGTCGGGCCAGTCCCTCTGCAGGAGGAACCTTTTAAAAGCAGTCAAAACATACTCAGGGGACGACGACCTTTTCTATTGTTTGTTGTTTTCTTGCATTTGTTGGAAGTGATTTGTTTGGTCCTTGGAGCTCCGCCTGTAGGGGGACATGCCCGACCTAAATCTAGGCCTCCCAGATGGGGTCCAAGCAGGTGGGAGCGGAGAATCACTCCGCATTGCCGATGCATCGGCGATGCGGCTCGATGCTGAGCCCTATGTTCTGCACGCTGCCGTCGCGGATGCGTCGCCGACGTCGCCGATGCATCGGCGACACAGCGCCTCCGATCCCAGTTGGGAGGCTTCGATCAAGGGTTGTGCCCAGGAGGCTTCAGACCCTGAAGGACTCCTTATCCGATGAGGGCGGCGGTGATATCCGTGGCCACTGCACGACTGGAGTTCCAACGGCTCCCAGACCCTGGATTCTTTATCCAATGGTTCCATTTCCAATGCCCTCGCCGTAGCCCGCGCAGTTGCTAGCGCTGGCGTAGTGGCCGCGGCCGCGGCAGCTGGCGCCGCGGCCGCTTCCGCTGGCGCGGCGGGCGCCGCTGCAGGCGTGACAGGCGCCGTAATTGCTGACGTCTTCAGAGCAGCGAGGGCCGCAGGAGCTCTCGGAGTCCGCGCGGCAGCCGGCGTGGCAAGCGTCCTTGCAGCCCTATAGCCGTCGTGACCGCAGTAGCCGGGGCCGCCGGTGCAGTCGCGGAAGTTGCCGAAGTTGCCAAACTCGTAGTCAGCGTGGTTGGGGCTGTAGCCTCGGTAGCTGACGTGTGGTGCAGCCGCGTAGTTGATAGACTGCCAGGCTGTCGGCAGGAGCGTGTTTCTTTCTTGCCTGGGGCATAATGGCAAGTACAGCCCCCGGCCCCCCCCCTCCCCCCTATAAAGTAACGCCACTCCCCCCCCAGTGCGCTCCGGGCTCTGCCGCCGTGCGCACGGCGGTGGGGAGGCGTTACAGTATAACCCTCCCTGGCCCCTCCCCCCCTTATAATGCCCATTATCGCCGAAAACAAAGAAACGCGCTGGCACAAAGATCAAGCCTGGGGTGAAAGCCGACGCATCACGGCTGAAGGCGTGGGCGCGCGCTGGAGCCGGACCTTCTCTTGCGTATAATCGTCTTGGTGGTGGCGACCTCTTTATCTTGTAGGCGAACTTCTCGGCCCTGGCCTGCGTTATCTGGCGGAAGCAGTTGTACGTATCATCTAGGTTCAGCAGCGTTTTGACACCTTGTTGTGGGTGCTCTTGGTGTTTCGACGACGTCGCGCTGCCTGCGCCACCCCCTCGTGGTGGGGCCCATGGGAAGGTGCAGAGGAGCTATGAGCCGAGAGAAAAGACAATCATGTGTGGCCCCATCATGCCCAGAATGGGCAACATCATGTGTGGCCCCATCGTGCCCAGAATGGACAACATCAGGAACGAAGACGTGCGCGAGTGGTACTGCAAACCCTGCCGATGCGGGTGCGGGTTGCTCCTGAGCCGGCCCATGCCACGGGCCGGGGTCGTACATGGCCACGGGCCCCGGAGCCTTCGCCGCTCCCCCTCCTCCTTCCTTGTCCTCCTCCTCTCCTTTTCCCTCCTCCTCCATCCTCTTCTCCCTCCTTCTTTGTCCTCATCCTCTTCTTCCTTGCCCTCATCCTCTTCTCCCCCCTTGGCATTCTCTTCCCTCTTCCGTAGCCATTTTGGCTCAAGTTCGAAACCTTGCCGCGAAGCTTCGAGCTTGTCCGCAGCCGTGCGGCAGGCTCGGACGATTTCGGCGCGTGTGCCGCCCACACCTTGCGCGGGGCGCGCCATGGGATATCTCGTCTGTCTCGTCTGTCGCGATGCTGGCAAGACTTCGTGGATCCCCGACACCAACCCCCGCCAGAAGTGTAAGTTTTGCAGTACTCCCTTTCCTGGCCGCTCCAGAGGACAGGTCCAAGGAAAGAAGGGAAGGAGCAAAGGCAGGCGCACTGAGCCTGTCGTGTCCCCTCCCCGTGCTCGTTTCCATGATCGTCATGATGTTGATGGTTCTGCCACTCCCCCAGTTCGGTCTTCGGATGAACGTCTTCAGGCTCCATTGGATGATGAAGTGCAGGATAGGTTTGGATCTGACTCTGGCGACGACGGTATTGGCAGCGATCGTGGTTTCTGGGCTGACTATGTCGACGACGACGTTGATGGCGGCTGTGTCGACACCAATGGCAATGAGCTCTCGGTTGCGCAGATTGACCAGATTATCAAGGCCCTGTTGGGCCAGCTGGATTCCCTCCGCCTGCTTCCGCCGACCAGGTATGTTCTCGATCAGGTTTCGAGTCTCCAGGACGAGTTGCAGCATCTCCGAGCACAAAAGTCCGACATGCTTACCGTCCCCCAGAAGCGTGCGTTCTACAAGCAGCGTCATCACTGGGCCAGTAAGAAGTTTGACAAGATCTCTAGCCAGATCCGTGAGTTCGATCGTAAAATCCTGGACCTTCAGAGCGAAAGGGGCGCCCTCTGCTCTCGTCAGGAGCGGGTTGCTCAGGATATGGCTATGTGGCAGGCTAAGTTGCAGGATCTCCCGTCGAGTGAGCCAGGTCCTGAGGGTTTCACGCCCCCAGATCTCTCTGCCGTGGCGGACGTATTCGCAGCTTCCCAGGCAGTGCAGAGAGACAAGAAGCTTGCTCAGGCGTTGCGTGACCTCCAGGGTATCGTTATGTCTGGCTATGCTCCTGTTGGTAGTGCCAGAGAGCCTCGGTCTCAGTCTGAGGAACCCAGGATGTCTGTCGACCAGCAAGGTTCCCCAACACGCGTTGCCAGGGCTCCTCCCCGTACCTCTTCCTCACTGCCGCCTGCGCCGAAACGTCCTGCTCATGCCCCTGATGTTGCAGTTGATCAGCCGGGACAGTCAGGAAGGTTTTCGCCGTCGGCTGCCGCCACCGCTGGCCCCGCCGACACCCCAGCTGTGGTGGAGGGCTCCAATCCCATGGGCCCGTCTGACCTTTAGCACATCGCAGACCCCGCCCGACAAGTCAGCCTTCGGACAGAAGTCGCGTCGGGACTGGGTCATCGTTTCTGTGAACGTTACCTCCTGGTCTAATGCCGATATTTTCCTGGAGGCTTATTCTGATCGGTTTGATGTTGTTGGTTGTCAAGAGCTCTGTCGTACAGAAGAGGCTATTGAGTTCGCAGTCAACCGTGCTCACAAGCATGGGTTCCATGCGCACCTCCACCCCTCAGTTAGTACTCAGAAAGGCGGATTGAGTTCAAGAGTGGGCCTTGTCTCGCATTATGCCAGGTCCTTCTCTGAACTTGCATTGGATCCGATTGTTGTCATGCCCCCTCCAGAGAGATTTATCTTGAAGCTATGGCATGGGGTCGTGGATCCAGGTATCCCTTGGGCCAATGTATATTTGCATACGGGGGAAGGCGCCGAAGATCGAAATGCCCAGCTACTGATGCAGGTGGCAGCAGTCACGAAGACCATTTCCACCCCCTTTGTCATATCAGGGGACTGGAACATGTCCCCCAAGGACTTGCAGAATACGGACTTCTTAACGCTCATAGGTGGGGTCATTGTCGCGCCAGATCGCCATACCTATGAGTCTGCGGGCGCCCAGTCGTTGATTGACTACTTTGTGGTTCACCCCTTGCTCTCGGCAGCAGTTAAGCGCGAGGTCTGGGAGACCCCCCTGATCCCCAAGCACCAGCCTGTCGCCCTTGCCCTTCGTGGAAATCTCCACTCAGATTTGGTATCCGTTTTTCGGCGGCCGCCACATATCCCTATTATCCGTCCAGTGGGGTGTTCAAACTGCCCGCCTTCCTGGGATGCCTTTCCTGTTCCTGACGCAGTCAACTCTGTGGAAGATTTGGAACGCCCTACCTCTTCTTGGCTGAAGACGTCTGCCCAGGAGTTGCTTGCCCTTTTCCAGTTGCCAGATCCGCAGGATTACACCAAGTGGGGCGAGCCTTCCTCGACCATCCAGATCTCGGTTTCCAGACCGTTTCCTGGTGGTGTGCTTTCGTCATGCGAAGGAAGGCTCTGGAGGTATCTCTCTAACCGTCTTGGTACTCTTCTATATCTTGCTGACGAGCAGCTGTGGCCCGCATATCGGGGAGCCTGCCAAGCCCTGCGCCGATATCGCCCTTCGCAGCGTGATGGTGGTCCTCCCCCCGATTGGTCGTGGTGGAGGTATTATGCCAACAGGCTTGATACCCTAGATCTGGGTTCCATAGACTGGCTGCGGGGCGTCTTGGGTGAGTCTGCATCTGCTCTGGAACGTGCGGCATCTGCGCAGAGGTACCAATCCTGGACATCATGGGCCATTCGTTCGGTCCAGGAAGGGGGTTCTGCTGCGCACCGATTCGTCAAGGGATCTATGGATTGGGCTTCCTTTGACAAGACCACCCCGAACCCAGATGCCCCAGTCGGTACGCCGCAGCATCATCTCAAGGCGCGAGAAGTAGCTTGGCATGCGATCTGGGAGCCCATGCAGGAGCACCCTGACGATCCTTGCCGAGCCCTGGATTTTCCGCCGTTGCCGCCCGACTGCCTTGCATCCTTGCCGCACCCGTCCCTGGACAAGTACAGACAGATGTGTCGCAAGTACAAAGCTCGTACGTCGGTGGGATTGGACTTTATGCATCCACGTCACCACGCGCTGCTCTCCGACTCGTCTCTCCTTGCCCTGTTTGGTATCTGGCGTGCTGTTCTGCGATTGGGTAGATTCCCTCCCATTCTCGTTGTTTTCATCATGAATCTGATCCCGAAGCCTGATGGTGGCGAGCGTACGGTTGCCCTATTCACGACGTGTGTGCGCACGTTCTCTCGGTTCTTCAGGCACACGTATGGTGCTATGTGGGCGCGATTGCATCCTCGTCCGTACGTGCATGGTGTGCGCGGTCATTCCTGCCAGGCATGTGTGTGGCGCATGGGCGTGCTCACGGAGTTAGCATCTGCCAAAGGTTTGTCTGTGTTTGCACTTTTGCTCGACATCCAGAAGGCATTTGAGCAGGTTCGCCACAAACTTCTCATAAGACGTGCTAGTGAGTTTGGTTTTGATCCAGCACTTTTGAGGGTTTTCCTGTCTATGTATCGTTCCCCACGTGTTGTCACGTTGCGGCGAATTGTTGGGGAGTGGGTCAGAGCTAGCAAGACTATTGTAGCAGGTTGCTCTTTTGCCGACCTGTTTATGCGTATTTTATTGATGCCCGGGTTGGATTCGTTTCGTCAGTCTTATCCAAATATGCACCTCGGCCTCGTCGCCGACGACGTCCAGGTCCTGGGGATAGGCTCGGAGAGGGAGTTGCTCAAAATCGGTCCCGATGCGTCGCACCTTTTGATGAGCAAGCTTACCTTCTCGGCATGGTTACCGCTCTCCGAGAAGAAAATCGCGCTCTTGGCTACCGACCCCCAGTTGGCTCAGAGCATTGCAGCTGAAACTCCTCGTCTCGCTGGTGCAGTCAAGTTCTCGTGTCGAAACCTCGGGATTGACTATCAGCTACGTCAGGGGCGTCGTTCTCGTCCTGTTCTTACTGGCCGATTGAAAAAGGCCAGGTTTAAGGCCCGTCGCCTATTGAAGATAAAGAAGGCTGGTGCAAAGGTAGCAGGTATTGTAAACACTAACTTGCGGCCCACTGTCATGTACGGCATTGACGTCGTCGGTCTATCTACTCACCAGATTCGTCAGGTCCGTGCTATATACCACGCTGGTCTCGGCACAGGTAAGCGTAGGTCTGTCACGATGGATTTGGTGTTGCATGGTGTTACCGACCCAGCTATCGATGTGCATGCTGAGGTTATTCGTCTCTGGACTGTCTCTAGATGGGGCTCTCTTCTTCCTGTCGGAATGATAGATCAAGTTTTCCAGTTTGCCTACGCCAAGGTGACGCCAGATACCCCGTGGACTGAATTGCAGGGCCCAGGGCAAATTTTGGTTGCCACTATGCGTAGAATTGGGTGGTCTGCGGTTTCGCCTACAATATGGCGTACTTCTCTTGGAACCGACGTTGATATTTCGTCTGCTTCCCCTCGTGAAGTGGTGGCACTAGTGATTCGCGACGCGTCTGTCTGGTCCTGGAAACAGGCCTCTGAGCGTCACCCATCCTTCAGTCACCTGTCTGGCCCCCCCTTTCTTCCCCCTCTTCTTTCCCTTTTGTCTAAAAAGACTGAAGGATGGGGTGTCCTCCAGCAACGTGCTCTGAGGACCTTTTTATCTGGGGGCATTTACTTTAAACCTGTGTGCCCCATTTGCCAGGTCGCCCCCTCTGACCCCGTGTTTCACACCCTGTATGAGTGTGATGGGCTTGTGGAGTTTCGTCGTTGGTTCGGCCCGACTCCAGCCCTCACCCGTTGCATAGAGCAGTGCCGCGAGAACCCTGTCTGGACCATTGCCTTGGTTCCCGACCCTCGCTATTGCTCCCTGCTCGCACCACCTTTTCCAGACCCTGTCTGGGAAGGAGCCACAGACGGCCCCTTCTTCTCGTCGCCCGCGTTTGGAGACGGCTCGGGAAAGCATGGTCCCTCGCCGCTCACTCTCCGCTGTGGATGGGGCGTATGCTCATTTGCCCCGCGTAGTCGCAATGCTTTCGGAGAGGCCATCGCCAATGATCGGCTTCGGCTTAATGCTGGTGCATATGGCGTATATCCCTTTCTCACCCAGGATGTCTCAGGGGCTGAGCTTTATGCGTTTTTATTGTACCTAACCCATGCTGCCCCCTCTGACTGCTATGAGTTTGTCACTGATGCCCAGTACGTTGTGGACGGATGGGCATTGGGGTATGAAGCTACCACGCACGGATGGGCCACTCACGCATCCTTGTGGGTCCGTGTCCACCGTGCGGCTTCAGATATTGGGTATCATTTAATTAAGGTCACCAAGGTTCGTGGCCATTCTACCTCTGCTGGTAATAAGCAAGCGGACAGACTTGCTAACCTAGGTGCTGACCTACACACACTGGACACGGTACTGCACGACCGTGTCAAGCGCTCTGGATTGCTTGTGCGCAATCTTGGTGTGTATATCGGGCATTGTATAGCATGGATTTTCAAGAACGTGCCCAAAAAGGTTTGGGTGGTGGATTCTGATGAGTCCCCCGCCCCCACGGCCCCACCCCTAGTCCTCTCTGGTGCCTCCTCTGGGGCATTGCATGAGCACTTCTGGGACCCCTCGGCGGGTCGGTTTCGATGCTTGAATTGTTGGGCTAGTTCAGTTTCCAAGAGCTATTTATTGCGTACACAGTGTTCTTCTCCCACTGGCGGTGGGCACGTGCTCAGGCGGCTAAATAATATCATATTTTGTCGACGATGCGGCCGCTACTCGTGCAAGAAAGCAGTTGATTTAACTAAATTATGCACTGGGCCCCCTCGGGCCTCTGGCACCATCTCACGGCTTCGACGCATGTGTGATGGTCGTGACCCCATGCACTGGTCAACCAGTCGGTGAGGTCACTGCGGTTGACAATGTCAACGTTATGTATGCCTTTCCTGCCCCTCACGATGTCTTTAATTTTCAGGCATTGTTTGATCCTGCATGGCTTCTAGAGGCCCCGTAGATGTCTCGTGTATATTTCGGAGGTGGGGTGGATGCAACGGTTCTGGTGTGTGTGCTGCCCACCGAGCCGCACGGGCACGCCTAGGGATATCTGGTCTGTCTCGTCTGTCTGATGCTGGCAGGACTACTCGGATCCCCGACACCAGCCGCCAGAAGTGTCGTTCTGCAGTACTCCCCTTCCTGGCCGCCACAGAGGACAGTCTCCAGGAAGTAGGGTAGGCTTGGGATAAGTGGGTACAGAGGCGCTGAGAAGCAGGCGCCCGTTCCGCCTGCGCCCACTTATCCCGTCTGTGTTTTTGTCATTCTTCCCCTGGCCAGGCTCGCAAAGAGAAGACTTTTGCCTGCCCGCAGAGCGGGGATAGCTGTGCACGCCTCTCTGTCTGTGCTTCCTTCTCTCTACAGTCGGACAGTCGGACAGTCGAAGTGTAGGATAGGCTTGGGATAAGTGGGTACAGAGGCGCTGAGAAGCAGGCACCCGTTCCGCCTGCGCCCACTTATCCCTTCTGTGCTCTTGTCATTCCTCCCCTGGCCAGGCTCGCAAAGAGAGAAGACTCTTGCCCGCCCGCCGCTTGGGGTTTTCTGCGCAGCCTCTCTGTCTATGCTTTCTCCCTACAGTCGGACAGTCGGACATAGGCTAGGCTTAGGATGAGTGGGTACAGAGGCGCTGAGAAGCAGGCACCCGCACCGCCTGCGCCCACTCATCCTTTATGTGCTCCTTTTGCCCCCCCCCCCAGCCCAGGCTCGCGAAGAGAGGAAAGGGCTCTCCGCCGCCTTGCTGGTATGTTGTATAATGTGCTGCCTGGCAGGTTGAGGCTGGAAGCCCAGGAGCCAGGACGCGGGCTTCAAATTGTTTCACCAGTCTTGCCAGCATCGCGTGTCTCGGGCCCTCGAGTTTTCGTTGTCCCTCTTTGTTCGGGTCGGTCCCTCGCTCGGCTCTGTTCGGGTCCTGGTCCGTCCCTCGCTTCTTTCGGCCCTTCTTCGGGCCCCTCGCTCGTCGTTTCGGCGCCACGGGCAGGAGTGTTCGGCAGACGATCACCCGCGCGCAAATCAAAAAAAACTTTTCCCTCTCCTCCCTTCACCTCGCACTCCGCGACGCACCCAACTTTTCCTTGCCCCCCTCTCTCCCTGCCCCCTCCTTTCTCCCTCCCCCCCCCCTTCTTCCTCTTCCCCTTCTCCTTCGGAGCCTCGCGCCGGACTCACCCTTGAGGTCCGACCTCTTGCCCGGGGCCCTCGAGAGGCCTCTTGCATGCCTCCGGTGCGGTCCACCAGTGCGCCAGGGCGCCCCGACGAGGGCGCCCCGGCAGCCCGTTGAGGGGATCCAGGCTGGCTCCCGCGGGCCGAAGACATCGCAAGAGGGCGCCGAGAGCGCCCCAAGGAGCCCAAGAAGAGCGACCAGGGACGAGGGAGGTCCCACGGCAGGCTCGCGTCGCGTCGGCCCGGGGGGCGACCCCAGCGAGGGGGCATTCGAGGTCAGATGCTGCCAGTGGCGCTGTGGGAGAGCTTCGCTCGTTCGATGTTGAGCGGTCCTCCTCCTCTTTCTCCTCCTCCTCCTAGTTACGACCTGGGCGCTGGCGACCCTGGTAACCTGGACGCTGGCGACCCTGGTAAAGACCCAGCTCACGAGGTATCGATACACGCGCCCGCTATGTCGTGACGTAGCCCAACTCGCGCGCGAAGCGCGCGGGTGCGGTTCTAGCCCTCGCAAGCCCCACGACTGCGGACCATCGCGTACCTGATGGCACCCCGACCTGCGTGCCAGAGGCACGGTAGCGGATCAAGCTCGAGAATTTTTTATACGAGAGCGAGGACTCCGACCACCTGAAGCTCATCGACTTTGGCTTCAGCAGAATCTTGTCGCCGAACATAAAGCTCCACCTGAGCTGCGGGACCCTGGCCTACATCGCGCCTGAGGTCCTCCGCGGCAGCTACACGAACCAGTGCGACATGTGGAGCCTCGGGGTCTCTGTTTTTATTTTGCTCCTCGGGTACATGCCGTTCCAAGGCAACGCAGAGAAGCTGCAGATGAACATCAAGGTAGGGAAGTTCGCGAAGAAAAAGAAACAGTGGGATAGCATTAGCTCGAGCGCCCAGGACTTCATCGATATGTTGATGGTTGTGGACCCCAACGACCGGCTCACCGCCAAGCAGGCCCTCCAGCACCAGTGGATCGAGAGGAGGAACCACATGAACGACGACATGCACGACGTCGACCAGGGTATCGCGGACGCGCTGTCCAACTTTGGGCAAGCTTCAAATCTACGGCGCGCCTGTATGTCGATGATGGCCTGGTCTTTGACGAACGATGAGCGCAAGCAGGTGCGAGACGCTTTCATCGAGATAGACACAGACAGGTCTGGCACCATCACCGTCGCAGAATTCAAGACGGTGCTGCAGGACAAGTTCCACATTGACGACGAGCATGTGGCAGCGGCTTTTGCGTCCCTGGACACGAATCACGCGGAGGAGATCCATTACTCTGAATTTCTGGCGGCAATGGTGTCGTCCCGCATCCAGCTCCACGATGACCTCCTCCGGCAAACATTCAGGCGCTTCGATGTCGACAACAATGGCTACATCACGAGGGAAGAGCTGGCGGAGCTGCTCGGCGAGGTGTACGAGGGGCAAGACGTCTCCAAGCTGTTGGACGAGGCGGACTCATCTCACGACGGCAAGATCGATTACAACGAGTTCATCCGTTTCATACAGGAGGCTGGCGGGGAGCTCCACCTCGAGGCCGCCGAGAAGCTCATTGACCGCGCCCAGACAGAGGGCGACAACGTTCACAAGGCCCCCATCCTGAAGAAGAAGGGTCCTGTTCCCACTGTTCATGTTCCCGCGGCCTCAGAGGCAGCAGAGACAGTGCGTAATGTGAGCGATGATATCCGCGCCCCCCACGTGAAGGGAAATAAAGGGCAGATATGTTGCACCTTGATGTGAGGCGCCTTTTTTTGCACTGTCTAGCCTGTAGTTGGCACGCCCGCGTGGCTTCGTCCATTGCCTCGCCTGCGGTCAGCTCTACCAAATTGTTGAAGCTTCGCGCATCCCAGCCAGCACATCCACAAACGATGCCCAGGCGAGTTGCCGTGATCAGGGAAGCGGGGGATCATACAGAGGAACAAGTGCTGGAGAAACCGTCGTACCCCAAGAGGGGGAGGAAGGAGGAGGAATCGGATGAGGAGGAGAAGGAGGTGGAGGAGGAGGAGGAGGAGTAGGGCGTAGAGCGAGGAGGAGGAAGGAGGAGGACAACGTGGAGAAGGACGAGGAGGAGGAGGAGGAGGAGGAGGAGGAGGAGGAGGAGGAGGAGGAGGTTGGGGAGGGGGAAGAGGGAGGAGGGAGGAGGACGAGGAGGAGGAATAGGCGGATGAGGATGAGGAGGGGAAGGAGGAGGAGGAAAGGGGCGAGCAGAAGAGCCAGAAACCTCTTGAATGCGATACCTCCCGGAGTCTCCTCGGATGTGTTTTGAAAGCTTTTTGGAGGCCTCTTGGAGCGTCCTGGGGACACCTTGGCGGGCCCAGGGCCGTCTTTGAGCGGGAGATCCTTTTGAAGCCTCTTGGGGGCCTCTTGGGAGCCTCTTGGAGGCCTCTTCGGCGCCTCTTGGGGCCGTCTGGGCGCGTCTTTGGGCCCTCTTTGGGCGCTCTTGGGAGCCTTGGAGACGCTCTTGGAGGCATCTTGGAGGACATCGATCAAACAAGAGGGGTTCCTCAATTAGCGCTGCTCCTCAGGAGCTCTCTTGGGACGCTCTTTGAGCGCTCTTGGGGCGCCCTTGGGCGCTCTTGCGGCAGTCTTGGGGCTCTCTCTTGGGCCCCTCTTGGGGCCCTCTTGGGCCATCTTGGAGCCATCTCGAGGCCTCGGAAGGCTACCGAAAGCGAGCGGGCGACGATGCAAAAATCATTGGTGTTCCCCAGGTGTTTGAAGGATTTTGGCCTCTTGGAGGCCTCCTTGGAGGTCTCGGAGGCCTCTTGGAGTCGTCTTGGGGCGGTCTTGGGGCCTTTTGGAGCACCTTCGGAGCCATCTTGAGGCACATCTGGCTATTTTGAATCATATCGGAGCTCATCTTGGGCTCTCCGAGGCGCTCTTGGAGCCGTCTTGGGCCACCTTGAACTCTCCAACTGCCAGCGAAACCCCCTTCACAGGTCCAGGGTGGGGGGTAGGGGGAGGGGTAAGCCCCTCCCCGAGGGGGAAGAAAGGGGTTGGAAGAGGAGCCGGCCCTAGACCACCTACGCCCTAAAGGGCTGAGGGGATTGTCCTCTTCCTCCCTGCAGTCTTCTCTTCCCTTGTCTGTTCCTGATTTTCCTCCTCGCCCTGAGCCTCTCATGCTTAGGGCCATTCTTGACTCCATTCCCACCCAGTCCTGCTTTCTCTCTCTCTCTCTGTCCCTCTCTCTCTCGGTTTTCCTCTCCTCCTACCCTCCCCCCATTCCCTCCCGGCCTTCCGCTCCGCCCCCCCACTTCTCCCGCTCTTTCTCTCTTTCTCTTTCTCCTTCTTCTTAATATTCTTGTTATGATCTCTCTCTCTCTCTCTTTCTATTTCTCTCCCTCTGTCCCTATATTCCTCTTTCCCTCTATCCCTCGCTCGCCCTCTCTTTCTCTCCCTCTCCCTCTTCCTCCCTCTCTCTCTCTGCCTCTGCCTCACCCTCTCCCCGTCCCTCTACATCATCCCCCTCCCCCATTCCTCTCCCTCTCCCTCTCCCCTTCTCTCTGCCTCTGCCTCTGCTTCTGCCTCTCCCTCTCCCCGTTCCTCTCCCTCGCCCTCTCCATCCCTCTCGCCGTCCCCAAGGCGAAGGATCAGTCGGTGGAGGAGGAGAGCAGGCGAGCGATAGTTTCGAGGGCAAGGAGGAGGCTGTGAGGTGTCCTCTGGGATTGCGTAGGACGCCACGCTGATGGGCCTCCCAGGAGCACGTTGACGACGGTCGTGCATTTGGCAGCACACGGGGCGTTGAGGTCTCTTGATCTGCGGAGGAAGCCATACCGCTGGGCTTCCAGCCTAGATTCTGGGCTTGCATCGGTCACCGATCCGCTTGGGCTTCGGCGGGGCTCCTGTGCGCATATTTTATCTTGGAAGCGCCCACAACCCTTGATCATATTAGGCTTGGTGCTCATGGTTAGGATGCTCTGGTTAGGGTTCGGGTAGTAAGGTGGTAGGCTTTAGGCCTCGTGCTTATGGTTAGGGGGCTAGGGATTCGGGTCATTATCAGGGTGTTATGCTTAGGGTTTGACTGGTAGGCGTAGAGTGTTAGGGTCAGGTTGGCAGGGTGGTAGGGCTAGGGTTCTGGTGCAAGGGGCGGGGGGGATTGCAAACCCCGCCTTCCCCTTTCGCACAGAGGAGAGGGGGGGATTCAACGGTTATTTTTTTTCCCGGTGGACTGGGTTCTTTCCCGGCAAACTGGGTTCTTTCCCAGCGCAGCGCCAGGAAAGAGTCCAGTATGTGCAGCTTTTTTTAGCGGATGTCTCGCGCGTCGGTTGTCCAAAATACCGATGCAATCTAGGGGAACACCGGGGGAGAGTCCAGTTGTGAAGAAGTACTACGCCTACGATGGATCATGGGGAACATGCATGTGCATATGCATATCTATATATATATAGATATAGATATAGAGAGAGGGACATATATCCATAACTAAGTAGCACCACGCAGTCGCGGATAAGAGTGAGGGGGCGGCGGGGACGTCTGCAGTCTGCGAGACTCTGACGAAGCCCGCCGTAGGCGCTTAATTCTTACAAGTTGTACAACGAGCCCGCCGCAGGCGGCGATTTTTCGTTGAATGTGGGTGGGTCGGGGGGTGAGTCGCGGGTGGGTCGCCGGTGGGTCGCGGGCGGGTTGCGGGTGGATCGCCGGTGGGTCGCGGGTGGGTCGCAGGCCGGGTCGCGGGGTGGGTCTCGGGTGGGTCGCGGGCGGGTCGCGGGTGGGTCGCGGGTGGGTCACGGGTGGGTCGCGGGCGGGCCGCGGGGTTGGTCGCGGGGGGGATGGTGCCAAGCAACAACAACGACAACAACAACACTAACAATAACAAAAACAACATCAACAACATCAACTACATCAACAACATCAACGACATCAACGACAACAACAACCATTAATCCGCAACGCGGGATCCCACTTCAGCCACGCACCGAGGGACAGTGAATGACCGTCCGACACCCCCACTGATATGTATGAATCTATGCAGATGTGTATGTATATATATATATACATGGTGGTGTGTGTATGTGTTGGTGCGTGTTTGTTTGTGTTTGTGTGTGTGTGGGTGTGGGTGTGCGTGTGCGTGTGCGGGTGTGCGTGTGTGGTGGTGGTCGTGGTGGTCGTGGTGGTCGTGGGGGTGGTGGTGGTTGTGGTGGTGGTGGTGTGTGTGCTTACATATGTGTATGTGTTGAGCGGGGGGTGTGGGGGGGAGATTGGGGGGAAAGGGGGGAGTCGTGGTGGATCCCGAGGGATCCTTTGGGATCCTGGGGGGTCTGATGGTGCCCGAGATATCCTGAGGGATTTGGGCACATGAGATGGCGTCTTGAAGGATCCTGGGGGATCCTGATGGCTTCTGAGGAACCCTGGGGAAGCCTGGGGGCTCCTGAGGGGCGGCCCCGAAGAATCTAGAGGCATCCTGAAGGGATCCTGAAGGGATCCTGAGGCATCCTGAAGGATCCAGAGTGTTCCTGAGGAAGCCCGCAAGTACCGATTCCGTATGAAAAGGCTAAGGGGTTCCAGGGGATCCACAGGGATCTTGAGGGGTCCTGAGGAATTGGGGAAGCCTTGTGGTGCCCTGAGGGGCGGCCCGAGGAATCCTGATGCATCCTGCGTGGATCATGAGGCATCTTGAGGGATCCTGAGGGCCCCTGAGGAAACCCGAACGAACGTTCCCGAAGGCTTTGTAGGGACCTTTGTGAACAGCATCCAAACACTAAGATGGCCTCAACCTTGCCGTCACCAAGATTACTCCATTGCCGTCATCACCAGCACCACTTCGTCATCACCATCACCACTGTAACCCTCATCGCCGTCATCACAAACAGCACCCTGATCGTCGTCATTACCAACATCACCGTCACCATCGCCGTCACCAACATCACCGTGATAATCGTCCTCACCGACATCCCTCATCATCGCCACCTCCAACATTACCGTCCTCGCCGCCCTCACGAACATCACCATGATCATAGTCACCACCAATGTCGTCGTCATCGTCATCGTCGACATCACCCGTATCGCCGCCATCGCCAGCATCACCCTCGTCACCGTCATCACCAACGTCGCCCGCACCATCGCCATGGCTGGCACCACCCTCAGCATGGCCACGACAAACATTGCCCCCCCTCATCGTCATGACCACCATGAACCAGACCATCGTCATGACCAGCCTCACCCCCATCGTCGTCACGACTCACATCACCGTCGCCATCGCCTTGACCAGCCTCACACTCAACATCGTCATGGCCGACAACACCCACATCACTACGATGATCAACATCTCCCGCGTCGTCGTCATGACCAGCATCACCCACTCCGTCCCCACGATCAACATGACCCTCAGAAGCTCCCAGAAGTTTTCAGAAGCTCTCAGTGACATGTTCTGAATCTCTCTGGAACTCTCTAAAGCTCTGGGAAGCCCCCTGGAACTCTCTGAAGATCTCAAAAGCTTTCACTCTTGAGGCCTCCTGGGAGCTTCTTGGGAGCCTCTTGGAGGTATATTGGGAGGCCTCCTTGGGCCTCTTGGGGGCCTTTGGGGGCTTCTCGGGGGCCTCTTCGGCCGTCTTGGTGGGCTCCTGGCCCGTCTGGCGCCGTCGGGATCCGTTTGGGGGGCCTACCTGGGCCGACTTGGGGCCTTCTTGGAATGCTCCAGGGCCGTCTTGGAGGCCATCTTGGGGCCTCTTGGACCGTCTTGGGCCCTCTTGGGCCCTCTTGGGGCCGTCCTGGGGGCCTCTTGGGCGGTTCTGGGGCCATCTTGGAGGCCTCTTGGGCGATCTTGGGGCGATCTTTCGGGGCTCTTGGGCCGTCTCGGGCCGTCGGAAGGCCGAAGAGAAGCAAATGCCCAAACCCTTCAAACACTTAAGAATAACACATGATTTTGACCTCTTTGGGCCTTCCTGGGGGCCCTCTTGGAGGCGTCTTGGGGGCCTCTTGGCCCGTCTTGGGCCATCTTAGAACCGTCGTGGGCTGGCTTGGTGGGCTCCTGGCCCGTCTGACGCCGTCGGAAGCTGTCTTGGGGCCTCTCTGTGCCGACTGGAGGCCCTCTTGGGGTGCTCCAGGGCCGTCTGGGAGGCCATCTTGTGCATCTTGGAGACCTTTTTGGCCGTCTTTGGGCCCTCCTGGGGCGGTCTTGGGGGCCTCTTGGGCCGTTCTGGGGCCATCTTGGAGGCCTCTTGGGCGATCTTGGGGCGATCTTTGGGGGCTCTTGGGCCGTCTCGGGCCGTCGGAAGGCCGAAAAGAAGCAAATGTCAAAATCCGTCAAAAACCTTAGGACAATCAATGATGGTGGCCTCTTCGGGCCTTCCTGGAGGACCTCTGGGAGCCCTCGTCGGCTGTCTTGGAGGCGTCTTGGGGGGCCTTTGCGCCGTCTTGGAGGCATCTTGGGCCGACTTGGAGGCAATTTGGACCCTCGTGGGCCGTCGTGGAGGCCATCTTGGCCCATCTCGGGCGAACTTGGAAACCACCTCGGGCCATCTGAGCGGTCTTGGAGGCCATCGAGGGCCATCTCGGAGCGGGAGAGGCATTGACCCGAGAATTTGTTTGTGGACGTTGAGCTCGTTTCCGCGCTTTGTGCAGCTTTGTGCGCTCTTCCGGGTGGCCAGCGGGACTGGCCGAAGCCCCAGGGGATAGTTCTTTTGGAAAAGAACCAACACCAAATCCGAAAGGATCCAGCACGCCGGGCACCCCCGTGACAAGTACAGGGGGCGGCGGATCGAAGACGCCTACGGCGAATCACCGCCGCCCCCTGCCTTTCTGGAAGCGCCTATGTGGCCGAACGTTGAGGCCAGACCTGCCAAGCTATCGGACCATATGTTTCCCGAATCGGTTTGGAAAACCTTCGGGGAACACGTGGGCATCTTGAAGGTCACCTTGGCCGTCTGGAGGCCATTTTGACCCTTTCGGGCCTTCTTGGAGGACGTCTTAGAGGGCTCTTGGGCCGTCTTGGAGGCCATCTTGAGCGTCTTGGAGACCGCTTGGGCCGTCTTGGGGGCCTCATGGGGCCGTGTCTTGGGCCTCTTGGGCAATCTTTGGGGGCACTTGAGCCGTCTCGGGCCGTCGGAAGGCAGAAAAATAGCAAATGCCACAATCCTTCAAAAACCATGGGAAATGAATGATTTTGGACTTTTCGGGCCTTCCTGGCGGCCCTCTTGGAGGCCTCCTGGGCCGTCTTGGGCCATCTTAGGGCCATGTTCTGCCGTCTTGGTGGGCTTCTGGTCCGTCTGACGCCGTCGGAAGCTGTTTGGGGGGCCTCTATGGGCCGACTTGGGCCCTCTTGGAATGCTCCAGGGCTGTCTTGGAGGCCATCTTGGGCGTCTTAAAGGCCTCTTAGGCCGTCTTTGGGCCCTCCTGGGGCGGTCTTGGGGGCCCCCCCTCCGGAAAACCGGGGGGGTCACTACCGGTTCGAACCCCTCCCCCCCCCCCCCCCGGCTCATCATGAAAAGGGGGGGGGGTCACTGCCGGTTCGAACCCCCCCCCCCCTCGAAAACCGAGTGGGGGTGCGGACAGAGGTGGGGACGGTGTTGGTGGGACAGTGGTGAGGGGACAGCGGGACAGTGGTGGGGACAGTGGGACAGTGGGACAGTAGAGGGCCGGTAGTGGTGGGGACAGTGGTGGGGACAATGGTGGGAACAGGGGGGACAGTGGACAGTGGTGGGGACGGTGGTGGTGGGGACAGTGGTGTGGGCACAGTGGGAATGAGGTGGAAACAGTGGGACAGTGGAGGGTACAATGGTGGTGGGGACAGTGGTGAAGGCGGTGGCGAGGACGGCGGTGGGACAATGGGACAGAGGTACAGTGGGGACAGTGGTGGGGACAGTGGGGACAGTGGTGGGAACAGTGGGACAGCTCAGTGGGACAGCGGCGGAGTCAGTGGGACAGTGGGGACAGTGGGGATAGTCGGGCAGTGGTTGGGGCCGTGGAGACAGTGGGGAGAGTGGAACCGTGGTGGGAACAGTGGTGGGGACAGTGGGGACAGTGCGACAGTGGTGGGGGCACTGGTGGGGACACAGTGGGGACAGTGGTGGTGAGGACAGTGGCGCTGGGAACAACAGTGGAGGATGTGATGCGGACGGTGGTAGGGACCGGGAGTCGTTTGCTGGCGGTGAGTGGGGGGGGTGGGGAGGGGTTCGAACCGGTAGTGATCCCCCTCCGGTTTTCGAGGGGGGGGGGGTTCGAACCGGTAGTGACCCCCCGGTTTTCGAGGGGGAAGGGGGGGGGGGGGGGGGGTTACGGGATGGGGGGGTTTTGCCGGGGGAGGGGGGGGGGGGGGGGGGAGGGGTTCCAGCAGGGGGGGGGGGGATTTTCGGAGGGGGGGGGGGGGGGCGACCCCCGGGCTCCGGAGGAAAAGGTTGGCAATTTTCCACAGTAAAGCGGCGGTGGATCACGCTCTCTCCTACATGTGCATACACATGTATATGTATAGCTGTATGTGCATGTATGTATGTGTCTATATGTAGCAGTGTGCGTGTGTGTTTGTGTGTGTGTGTGTGTGTGTGTGTGTGTGTGTGTGTGTGTGTGTGTGTGTGTGTGTTCGACTTGACTCTCGTCTCGAACGAGAAGAGGCGGGGGATAGTAAGAAGGAGGAGGAGGATGAGGAGGGGAACGAGGAGGATGAGGAGGAGGAGGAGGAGGAGGGGGACAGGGAAGAGCACCACGATGATGAGGACTAGGAGAGGAAGAGTGAGGAGGAGGAGGAGGAGGAGGAGGAGGAGGAGGAGGAGGAGGGAGGAGAAAGACGGCGCTCCTCACCGGAGAAGCTGTGTCCTCTGTTCGCGTTTCCTTTTCCTGCGGAGCAAGGACTCGCTTTGCGCTGGGTCTCGATTCCCCCCCCCCCCTTCTCGTTCCTCCTCTGTTCGTCCTCCGTTCCTCCTCATTTTCCTCCCTCCCTCTTTCCCCTGATCCCTCTTTTTCCTCATCCCCTGAGTATGTTGTTCCCGATTCGCTGGGCGCGGTCGCCTTCTCTGTTTTTCTTTGGGAGCTTCAGCCGTCTACTCCTCGACTTCTCACTGCTACCACGCTTTGTTTGGATGTGGTGTCCTGCTCTGTATCGTGTGTAAGCAGTCGCGGCAAGGATGCCCCTGATGGCAGTGATGTTTCTTGATGCCAGCTGCCTCCTCTGCGAGTTCCGTCGCCGTGCGATCGCGGGCTCGGGATCGTTCTGGAACGACAACAGGACTTCTCCAGGGTGGGTTTCGGGATGAGCTGCCCTGCTCTGCTCCAGGATGGAGGGCGACCGGGTGTTTAGAATGCAAGACACACGGTCGGGCAGTTTGCTCAGTCTGTCGCTCGGCAGGTTCTGGCCCACCGCGATTCGCCGTGACACGCTAACCACTTCCCATTTCCGAGCCTTTCCTAGCCTCCCGCCCCGCGGAGCGGATCGACACGTTGTCCGCTTTCAAGGCATAGCGTATCGCCAGGGCCGTCGCCGCGACACGCTAAGCAAACATTGCTGACCGTACGACGTACTAGCCCTCGCGGCATCACCATGAACAGTGTCTTGCGGCTGTCGTCCGCCGTCCGATGTGATTCCACGGTATGATGCGTGCTTTTGTGGCGCAGTGCTGTCGTCGCCCTCATCCTTGCAATCCGTATCCATTCTGGCTGAAGCCGTATTGTTTCTAGGCGGCGTGTGCTCAGCTCTCCGGACAGGTTCGCGGAATGGCGTGGCTCGGCCCTTGCGCAAAGGGCATCTTGCAGGGGATCGTTCAGGCATCGGCCGCGAAGAGCAGCAATGCCCTCCTCCTTGCGGAGCCGGCTGCGGCGCACCATCTCCCAGACCTCCGGCGCCGTGATTTTGTCCATACGCACGTGGCCCCCAGATGTTCCCTCTCTCCAGGTTTCCATCCCGGTTTCGCTGCTGTTGCGGTCCAGGGGCCCAGAGGCGGCCCCTGGACGTCGAGAACGACGGAAGACTTCCGTCCTGAGCCGTGGGAGACGTTCGAGGTCCGATTCCCTCCTCCCTCCAAGCCGACCCCAGCACTTCTCTCCAGGGGTGCGTTTTGACCAGGACTTGGGAGGGGAAGCCAGCCGCGGCGACGAGGAGCCCCCCCCGGGAGGCCCAGGCGAAGGCGGCACGCGCAGCGCTCGGCCTCGAGCTGCCGCCCTCGAGCCTCGAGGATCGAGGCGGCCTGGGAGGTCTGGGATCACGACGGGCCTGCTTTCCACCACCACCACCACCATACGTTGGAGGGGGAGGGGGTCCTCCTCCCCCTCCTCCTCCTCCTCCTCCTCCTCCCTCCTCCTCCTCCCCCTCCTCCTCCTCCTCCTCCTCCTCCTCCTCCTCCTCCTCCTCCTCCTCCCTCCTCCTCCTCCTCCTCCTCCTCCTCCTCCTCCTCCTCCTCCCCTCCAACTGATGGTGGTGGTGGTGGAGAAGCAGGCCCGTCAGATCATCTCAAAGCCTCCGACGCCGTGGACCTGGCGGCCCTGCCCACCATGGACGAGCTGCCGGGCCTCTGCGCCGGCGGGGGACAGACGCGCGAGCCCTCCGGCGGCAGCGGCGAGCACTCCTCCCAGGACCCGGGAGGGCTCCATGCCGCCCGGAGGGGGTCGGAGTGCCCGGGGGCGGCCAGGAGGGGGGCGGATGCGAAGTCGGGCCCGTCCCTCTACAGGGGGAATAGTCAAGAAGTAGCCTGGGGATTATTTTTGGAGTATTTTTGAGCAGCTTCTGTCGGGGGTGGACAGAACCCCCAAAGAGTGACACGTCGATTAGTGAATTGTCCGTTTTCGGTTCTCGAGAGGGCGCCGCGACCGTTATTTTCCAGGCTTGCGCCCGCCAGGTTTGGGCCTCAGGTCGTTTTCACTAAACCACGTTTTACTAAAGGGAGGTCTGTCCATCCCCGATTTTGAGCATTTTTGGAGTATTTTTTTTCGTCCAAAATCCCCCTGTAAGGGGACAGGCCCGACTTCAGGGTGATGACTGCGGGGGGGGGTGGACATCATGGCGTGGGCCACGATATCTCCCCATCTCTCATGGCGCCGCTTCATAGTTCGTTGCGTCCCCGGCCCCCTCCTGGGCCGCGCACATGCCGCCGGCCATGGTTTGCGCCCCCCCTCTTGGACGCCCCCCCCCTTGGCCGCGCCGGATAGATGGGGTCGGGTGATTGCGCCGCACCGTCGATGCATTGCCGACGCGGCTCGATGTAGAGCCCGAAATACTCCGCGCCGATGACGCCAATGCATCGGCGACGTCGCTTATGCATCGCCAATGCATTCAACGATGCGGCGGGATCCTACGACCCCATCTACTCCGGCCCCATCCGGGAGGCCTCTAGAACGGCAGCAGCACTCATCTCATCCTCTTAGTGCCACGGAGATTTAGCGGACGAGTGAGGTCAGGAACGTTGGCTTAGCGTGTCGCTCCGCCTGTTTTGGCCCAAAACTCGAGGAACAACAAAAATTGAATAACCATAACTTCTCGGCGGTCCGCGCGGACTCCTTGGATCGGCAATGGGCCCCCCTGGCGGTGCCTCTGGCGCCACCCCTGGCGCGCCCCTTGCGCCAGGGGTGGGGGGTGGGGGGGTGGTCCAGCGCCGATCCAAGAAATTCGCGCAGACCTCCGAGAAATTATGGCTAGGTGTTTCTTGTTCCTCCTGACCATGCCGTGGCGCGGCACGCTGACCACGGCCCGGCCCCCGAACGTCAACGTCCCGAGCTCTTCTGGAAGCCTCCCGCCCCGCGGGGCGGAGCAACATGATACCCAGGGCGCCCTCGAGAGCGCGAAGTGCTTCGCGCTTCGCGCTTCGGCTCCGATTCCTCCTCGTCCTCCTCTCCTCCCCTGGGAGGTGGCGCGCGAGCGCGAAACTGCTCGCACTTGGCGCTCCGCGCGGAGCGCGAAGTTGGGAGCCCCTGGATACCCGCTCGCAGGGCACGGCGTGTCGCTGGAGTTAAGTCGAGCCTGTCCCCCTACAGGGGGATTTTCGACGAAAAATGAAAAGTGCTTACAAAAATAGTCCAAAAATAGTCCGGGGACTATTTTTTGAGTATTGTTGTTGCCTTTTTGGGGTACTTGGGGGTATTTTTTATTTTTCGCCGAAAATCCCCCTGTAGGGGGACACGCCCGACATAATGCTGGAGCGCCAGGGCCGACTCCGCGGCACGCGGAGCGAAAAAAAACGTTCCCGGGCCGTGCCGTCCTCGGCGGCGCTCGGGCGCGTGCGCTCAGCACGGCGAGGCCAGCGCCGGAAGCTCCTGGGCCAGCTGTGGAGAAGAACTCTGCGAAGAAGCTCCTCCTCCTCGCTCCTCCCTCCTCCTCCTCCTCCTCCTCCTCCTCCTCCTCCCTCCTCCTCCTCCTCTTCCCTCCTCCTCCTCCTCCTCCCTCCTCCCTCCTCCTCCTCCCTCCTCCTCCTCCTCCTCCTCCTCCTCCTCCTCCTCCTCCTCCTCCTCCTCCTCCTCCTCCTCCTCCTCTCCTCCTCCTCCTCCTCCTCCTCCTCCTCCTCCTCCTCCCCTCCTCCTCTCCTCCTCTCTCCTCCCCCTCCTCCCTCCTCCTCTCTCCTCCTCCTCCCTCCTCCTCCTCCTCCTCCTCCTCCTCCTCCCATCGCCTCCTGTCGAAACAAAGCAGAACCCAAACCCCTCCCCATCTTGACCGGACAATCTGGAACATCTTGCGAAACATGCGCAATACAGAACAATGTGTGGAGAGTGGACGTCCGAGCGATGGCCAGAGTCAGTCATCGCGAACGCCTGCCCCAGGGCGGTCGGAACTTCTCCATCCCCACGGCAGCACATGGGGGTAGGACTTTTCCAGCCGCTATGAAGACTTCCCAGGTTGGGGTAGTTTGGCAGCGCGCAAGAAGAAGGTGGCAGTGGATCGCCATGTTCGCCCGGGATGGTGCAGGAATTTTGCGTAAAAGCGCAGTTGTCCTGCATTGGTCTGAAACTGCCCTTGTTGAGTACCCATTACAGCTTACAGCTGTTGGCTAGAGTGTCAATCTGACGCAGCCATCCCCCAGGGTCGGTCGACCCTGGGGGTGTTGATCAAATTGACATGCTGTAGGGCATAAACAATAGCGCGACAAGCAGACTCCCCCAGGGGCGGGGTAGCTAAGTCCCCCAGCGCCCTTGGGGGGGGCAGGAGGGGGGGAGGCACTTGATAAGAATCGAGGAAGAGGAAATTGAGGCATAAGCTGCAGTAGGCGGCAATGGCTCGGCGGGGACAGTTGGCGAGTGGAGAGGCTTGGCGGTGGCTTGCGGGCGGCGCAGAGGGGACACGTGCGGCCAGGCTAGACGCGCCAAGCTGAAAGGGACGAAGGCCTCTCCCCCTACCCCTAGGAAGCTCAGTACAGTGGAGACCCATGCCAAGAAACACCCCGCTCGCCTCCAGGGCGCCTGGGTTTTTTGGGTTTCGATGGTTTCGCCGTGGAAGAAGGCGTGACGTTCCAACACCAACAACCCACGGTTGTCCTGGGGTCTCAGGGTTGGGCCTCTCGTGGCAGGTCTCCTGTGGCCTGGCCTCCACGTGCACTGCTGCCCACGGTCCCGCCTATGGGGACCCTCGCCCGCCGAGGCAGGCGACGGGCCCCCGAGATGTGGCGACGGGCGGCGGGCACTGGGCATTCCCGCCGGGCGCCGGGGAGGCTTGCGCCTCACGCTGCGGCCGCCGTGCGGCCGCGCGGCTGTCGTGCCAGCAGCCGCCCCGGCGCACGGCAGGGCGGCCGTCGGCGAGGTGCCCTTCTGCCCCCCCCCGATGTACAGCCCACCCGCTGCAGTGAGGTCCGTGTGGCCTCGCGATGCGGCTGGCATCGCGGCCGCTCTGGCCAGCGCCAGTGCGGGGGGCGGTCTGAGGTTCGTGGGGTCGAGCGGCAGGCGGGGAAGCAGCTGCAAGCACCGTGGGGAGGAAGCGTTGGGGGCAAAGGCTGGGCGGCTTGCTGCACGGCTGGCCGCGGCCACCCAGGCCATCGTCGGTGTGGCCAGCGGTCGTTGCTGCCTCGTCCCAACCGCCCACCGCCCGTACCACCCCACCCATCCGCCGTCACGCGAGCAGGTAAGGGTAGGTTCGGTGGGTGGAAAATCGGTAGTACAGGCAGGGGCTGGTGTAGAAAAAGCGGGCGTGCGTGACAGGCAAGAGCCGAAAAGAAGTGGGGCAGGTTGGCGGTTCTGCTGGGTTCTTGCTGATGGTGCCGCGGCTGCGGTTACCCAGAACTTCGCCAGGGTAGCCTCAGGACCAGTGGATAGTTGGCGCTTCGTGTTGTCGCCTCCGATGCCCCAGCTCGCAGCCGTTGGTTAAGTCCACCACCCAGGAGGTGCATGAGAGCTCGATATATCGGTCCGGAAATGGGTTGTTCCACCCATGCGGGCAAATGTGGCATGTGCGCTTGCAGTGTGTCGGATGATCAGCATGCGTGGGTGAGAAAGCCACGTCGGGTTTGGGAGCCCTGTCTGACCGTGGGCCCACTGCATAGAACAGCACAGCCTGTTGTGAATGCAGCCGCCGTGGATGCATGTGGCGCGTCGGATGAGTGTGAGTGAGAGAGCCACTGCCGTGGACCCACCATCTTCGCGCCCCCTGAGGATGCCGCTGTCGCCGTGTGCTGGTGCTGCCGTCGTCTGTGAGTAGGGGTGATTGTGTGCAGCGTGCCGCAGGAGAAGAGAAGCCGGCTGCTGCCGCTGTCGTATCGGTGGGCTTCGCGATGTGGGTAAAGGACAGTGCAGGTGACGGGAGCCGGTGATGGGACAGTTGGTTGCGCGTGGCGCTGTCTGAATAGAAATGGATTTGAATCCGCGGTCGCTGGTAGGAACAGTGGCGTATTGGGACAGGTCGCATCTCGGCACAAGGGTGGCGTTCGCCTTCTGGCCGTGGGCTGTTGGCAGAAGATGGGTACACATTGTTCATCATCTGAGTATTCAACAGTTCTTTGTTTTTTTGGCCAAGATCATCATTTCTACTTGTGCTATCCGTGGCCTCTTCCTGGCCACTAGGGGGCCAGGAACAGTTAGAAACGAGCACAATTAGAAACAGGCACGATTCGAAATGAACGAAGTGTAGGTGGGGCGCTCTGACCTGAGGGTAGAGCCATACTAGGGTGGGCGTCATGTTATCATCGATCACGTTGTCGGCGTGCTCGCTGTGGGGTTGTCCGCTTCGGATTTGGTTCCCGTGGGCTTGAGTCTGGTACGGCTGCTAGTTGTACTGGTCGGTGGTTCAGCGTCCGTCTTGCTCTGTAGTTACTGTCGTCGTAGCTGGGCCAGTGCTCGTCCTCGTTCTGGTTCTTGATGGCAGCCGTGTCCGAGTGCAGTGCTGGGTAGAACACCCGTCCCCCCACCCCCGTTCTTCTCCACAGGCTCTAGACCACTGGAGACCCGGAATCTTCGAGCGGGAGTGCTTCTCGCCGACGTCGGCCCCGCGTGCCTCTTATGGGCCCCAGTGGCCGCCAAACAATCAAGCAGTGGCGAAGCATACTGCCCTGCCTATAGGCCCACTAAACAATGTGCTACGAACCTTTTGCGGTCTGCGTGTTTCAACACGTCGGCTCTAGGTTCTGAGAGCGCTGTCTTTGAACTTACGACAGCGAGGGCTCCGGGGTCCGAAGCGCAGCGGGGTCGCTTGAGGGCCCCCAAAAAGGGGCCCTTGGAGGAGGAGGAGGAGGAGGAGGAGGAGGAGGAGGAGGAGGGAAAGTAGCAGGATGAGGAGGAGGAGGAGGATGAGGAGGCAGATGATCAGGAGGAGGAGGAGGAGGAGGAGGAGGAGGAGGAGGGGAGGGAAAGCAGCAGGATCTGGAGAAGGAGGAAGAGGAGGAGGAGGAGGAGGAAGATGAGGAGGAGGAAGAGGAGGAGGAGGAGGCGGAGGACGAGGAGGAGGAGGAGGAGGAGGAGGACAGTCTTTTGTTCTGAGAGCATCTCCTGGCAGGCCCGCAGCAATGCCTGGGCCGTCGGCCTCTGCTCGAAACAGCGCCTCAAGCCACCGGTGCCGGCCGCTCGGGGGGGCCTCCTCCCCCCCCCCTCCTCCTCCTCCTCCTCCTCCTCCTCCTCCTCCTCCACAATTACTCAATATGAATACTACTCTCCCTCTTCCCCTGATGGCGTGCTGGGAGTAGCCGACCCCCCCCGCGTCCTGCTTTTTTACACACAGGATTCCCGGGAGTTGGGTTTTCGCCTGCATTTTTTTCAAAATGCTGCTCTCGCTGAGGCGCCGGCCTCATTTTCGGGCCCCGCTCGTTCCGAATCGTGCTCCCGCTGCAGCGCTGGCCTCATTTCCGTGCTTCCGCTCGTTCCAAATCGTGCTCCCGCTGCAGCGCTGGCCTCATTTCCGCGCTTCCGCCCGTTTCGACTCGTGCTCCCGCTGCAGCGCTGGCGTCATTTCCCGTGCCATGCCACAGCACACGCGCACACACGCACACACGCACACACACACAAACACACACGCACACACACACACACACACCACACACACACACCACACACACACACCCACACACCCACACACCCACACACCCACACACCCACACACCCACACACCCACACACCCACACACCCCACAACCACGCACACACGCACGCACGCACGCACGCGCACCACCACCCACTACGCACGCGCGCGCGGAGCCACAGGTCCGCTACGACACGCGTCCGCGGATGGAGACAATCAGCGCCATGGTAAGGGATGGGAGGGAGGGGTAGGACGTCAGATATGACGCGAGCGCACCTAGCTTGTCCTCCTCCTCCTCCCTTGCTTCTTCTTGCCAGCCGCGCGCGGCGTCCCGAGGGTCTTGCGGCCGAGGCCCTCGGCCACGTCGCGCGAGCTCGTGTGGTTGCGGCCACGACGTGAGGCGTTCCAACGAGGGCCTCGCCTCTGAGGATCGAGGGGGCTGCCATCTTTTCCGCGGCGGAAGGGCGGCGGAAGCAAAAGGTGCCCCCCCCAGGAGGGGAACACGTTTTTGGGTTCAGGGTTTCCGAAACCGCCCATGTAGGGCGAACTCGTGGCTGCGACCACTATATGGCACGCGCTTGGGCGTCGCGCCCTGCTCATGACTTCGGAGGAGGAAAGGCACTCCAGATGCCGTAACAAAAGGGAGGGGGTTACAACCCTCCCAGACGAGAAGCTTTAGACCCCCCCCAGACCATCCATGAAAGGGCGGCCCTTTGCCCAGACCCCCCCGAACCTTCCAAGACAGCTAAAATCAGACACCCCACCCCAAATGTGACCCCCCCACTTTATCATGGAATCCGGAGTACCCATACCGCTACCCTTCCCTCGTTTTCTCCTTTTTGGGCCTCTAGGGCGGCCCTCGTCGCCACAGCTGGATTCGCCTCGAAATTCTGGTCAGAGCGCACCCCAGGAGAGGTCGGAGTGGTGGTATCGGTACCTTTCGGTTCCCCCAATACTCTCAGACGGGCACTGGCTGGAAGGTCGACCCCGAGCTGTGAGGAGCTCCCGGGACGAGAGGCTGGGCCCGCAGCCCCAGCCTTGGGAGCAGGGGGCTGGCTGCCGGCGTGCACGGAAGATGGCCGGGCTTGGCCTCGTGCAGTGGGCCGGTCACGCGCCGAGGAGGGTGGGGGGAGGGGGGGGGGGCTTCTTAGAAGCACCCCTGCTTCTTAGGAGGCGTGGGCCTCATCTCTAGATGTCAGGCCGGCGCCTTCTAAGAAGCAGCCTCCTTCTGAGAAGCCCTCCCCCCTGCCTCCAGCCCCTTGTGCGCGCCGCCAAGGGGGGGCGATGAATGGGGGGGCCAGCGAGGGCTGCAGAAAACAGGCCCTCCAGGGCCCCCCAAAAGGGGCCTCTGGGGCACGAGAGGTGCACCTCTCCCCCCCCCCATGTACCGCCCCCTCCCAGCAAGCGACACCCAACGCGCTTGTTTCGGGCACGGCCCTCCGCGGCAGGCGCCCGGATGCTTGCCACGAGGCGTGCAGGGCGCCCCGCGACGCTGCAGAGACCTCTCGCACCGCCGGCGATGCGACGTGGGACGGTGAGAGTCACCAGTCCCGTCGAAGGGGATGTGTGGCTCCAGGGCCCCCAGCTCGGCCACTGGACGGCCGGGTCCTTTTCGGGCCCTCCTCCTCCCGGGTGCCCGTCAAGGGGGGGGGCAGGAACACACGGGCCGCCAGGAGGGCGCGAAGCGATTCGCCGTTCGCGATTCGCGGCTCCTCATCGCCATCTTCCTCGTCTTTCTCTCTGCACCTCCGAAGAGGTGGTGCGCGTGCGCACAGTTACTCGCACCTCTGAAGAGGTGGTGCGCGTGCGCGTCCTCGTCTTTCCCTGCACCTCTGAAGAGGTGGTGCGCGTGCGCGAAGTTACTCGCACTTCACGCTGCGACGAGCGCGCACGGGGCTGCCCCTGGAGGCACGCAGGGGTGACGGAGCGTGCACCCTCCGTGCACCTCCATGGGCCCGCGGCGGCAGCCGCAGGGGCCCCTCTGGGGCCCCTCCGGGGCCCCTCCCCTGCGGCCTCCCCGCCCCGCGCCCCCCCGTGCGCCGCCCCCCGCCGCCCTTCGCCCGCTCAACTGCCCCCCCCGCGGCCCCCGCCCCGCGCCCCCCCGCGCGCCGCCCCCCGCTGCCGTTCGCCCGCTCAACTCGCCCTCCCCCTCCCCCTGCAGGACTGGAGCAGCGACTCCGGGCGCACCGCCGCCGCCCCGGAGCCCGCGGCCGGCACCCCGCCGGCGGGCTTCTCGGCGGAGGAGGTGGACGCGCGGATCCGCGAGGCCGCCCGCGGCGTGCGTCCGCTCGCGGGCAGCGGCCTGGAGCTGGTGCGGACGCTGCAGGCGGCGCCAGCGCCTGCAGCTGCCTTGCGCGCCGCGGTCACGCGGTCACGCATGGGGCACGCGTGCGCACGGGACTATATATGGACTTAGCGAGGTATGTGCGCACGTGCATTAACACAGTACAAACATGTACGCAGATGTGTGGCTATATGCATGTCTCTCTATGTGTATCCATATTTTTATGTTTTTCCACAAAAAATCATACATGTATATATATATATATATATATATATATATATATATATATTTATATATGTGCATTGAAAATTCCCAAGACTGGCGGTCCAAGGGGCTCCGTGGTCGCCGTCGTCACCCCGTCGCCGCCCGTCGTCTGGTGCCTGTCTGGCGGCTACGTGGTCGACGTCGCCGCCCCGTCGCCGCGTCGCCGCCGCCCGACGTCTGCGCCTGCGTGGCGGTCTGGCGGCTCCATGCTCGCCGTCGCCGCCTCGTCGCTGCTCTGTCGCCGCCTCGTCGCCGCACGGCGTCTGGGCCTGCATTGCCACGGTCATTGCTTTGCATGTCTTTGCATCGACTTAGTGCGTTGCTTGATCGCCTACCTTTGCATTGCTTTGATCTTTCCCCACCCGACAGGATGGGGTCGTTAGATGTTAAGCACAGACCTCCCGACCCGTCCCCTCTGCATACCGCGGCCGACAGATTCCCAGGCTCCCGAGTATCTCCGAGAATCCCGCCTCGCGCCACTCTGCGTACCGCGGCCGCCAGGTCCCCAGGCTTCCGAGTATCCCGTAGAATCTCGCCTCGCGCCACTTTGCATAACGCGGCCGCCGGATCTCCAGGCATCCGAGTATCCCCGAGAATCCCGCCTCGCGCCACTCTGCCTACCGCGGCCGCCAGATCCCCAGGTCCCCCGAGTGTCCCCGAGTGTCCCGCCTCGCGACGACAAATCATAACATGACAGAGCGTTTTTGGAAGGTAGAAATAGCCGAGCATCGTACAGCACAACACGATAATCTATGACAGAAACAAGCATAACGCCACAAAACCTACCATACCATGACATAGCATCTCGTATCATAGCACACCATGGCCTGACAGTTCATACCAGAGCTCATCATTACATCGCATATCACCTCGTACCAGGACAAAGTAATCGTTTCATACCATAAGAGAACACCGCATAACTGAACCTCCCGAAACAAAACATGCCACATATGCACACACCATGACACATCATACATATCGGAGCGCACATTCCATACCATATTATAGCATACCACAACATAATATGGCATAGCACACCACAACATCATACAACACCTCAGCACCTACATCATGACACCAGCATCGCTGACATCATGGAGCACGCAAAGCATAACACAACACCACACATCACGAGCACATGACAGAGCACACCAAAACATAGCGTAACAGAACAGAGCTCCCCATTTCACACAAGGGCATATCACAGCATAGTAAACACATGATCACATCATTTCACCGCATGACAGAACATTTCATCATGGGGGTGCGTGCACATGGATGATGTAAAATAGCGGGCCCCGTCGTGGACCCCAACCCTCTCGGTGCGTGGGCGCGTGGATAATCGCGCTTCGCCCCGCGGGGGTCCTTGCTCCGTCGTGCTTGCACTGTTTTGGGAAATTGCACTGCGGTGCCGAACAGCTTCTCTGTAGCTGCTCCGTTTTGGCTGAGTGGTTTCTCTTCGACCTGCGGCCTCGAGCTGCATGCGGCCCGTGTCCCTCCCGCAGATCCTCAGTGGCCCGATAGCCGCGGGTCTGCTCGCGCTGGGCACGCGGAGGCAGCCCTGCCCCGTTCCCCCGGAGCCGCCGATCTGCCCGGAGACGTGCGCGGAGGCACCGCCCTGCGTGTGCCCAGCGGCGCCGGCGTGCGTGTGCCCGGAGCCTGTGGCCTGCCCGCCGACGGAGCTCAGCAGGGAGGAGGTGCTGATCATCGGCGCGGCCACCTGGGCGGTGCAGACGGGCGTCGGCTGGGCCACGAGCGTGGGGCGCAGGCTCCTCGGACGCGGCAGAGGCCATGGCGCTCGTTGGGCTCGGTGCGGAGGCGGAGTTCTTGAGGCGCCTCCTGCCAGGTAGGCACTACCTGGCCTGGTACGATGGGACGATGTTTACCACGAGCGGGTGGCTTTGTGGCCGCAGACGCACGCCAGATGGGTCATCCTGACCCCAGACTTTGACATGTATTCGGAGATGCTGGACGGCAGCGAGGGCGTCGACGGCGTGGTGCGGATCGTCGGCCTGCGCCCAGACGGGCGTCTTCCCCGGCTCGACAAGCCCGCCTACAGGTTCAAGCAGGCGCTCGACCTGGACGCCCTGAAGGGGTACATCCGCGAGGGCCGACGCCTGGCCCTGCAGGACGGAGCTGCGGCGGGTGACCCGCCGATCGAGGTCGCGGACGTGGTGATGCCCGATCGTGAGGTGGTGCCGCTCGACACCCTGTTCGGCGGCCGCTTCCTGCCTCGCCGCCTCCCCTTGCGCCGCGGCGCAGCGGCGGCGGCGGCTGGGGCCGACAACGGGCCCCCTGGCGACGCGGCTGCCGGCTCCGACGCGGGCGCGGCCCCTGCGCTGGCGGCTGTCGGCGACGGCGCCAGCCCAGAGTATCCCCAGGTTCCGCCAGACACGCCGCGCGGCCACGCGTGGGTGCTCATGGAGGGCGGCCGCGCCGGCAATCTGGGCGACGAGGTGGTGCTGGGGCCAGATGACTTCAGGCTCTCGGACTACGACGCGATGATCCTCCGCCGGGGGCAGGGCCGCCGGGCCGAGCTCGTCCCCCTCACGAAGGTGGACGAGTTCGTGCGAGCCCGCCGAGAGGAGTTGGCCGACCAGCTGAGGCCAGCTGGGGCAGCTCCACTGGTTCCGCCCCTGGGACCGCCGCCTGGGCCGTCGGCCGAGGCGCCCGAGGGTGCGGACGCCGCCGGCGGCACAGCCACGCCCCCTCCAGTGGCGGAGGATGCTCGCACGCTGTGGATCGACTACGATGAGCAGGGCGAGAGGTACAAGCCATACCGCAAGGCGGTGCAGGAGAGCTTCCACGTGCCTGACCAGCACTGGCCCCTCGAGGGCCCGTCGACGTACCTGCAGGTGATGAAGCACATCGAGAGGACGGGTGGTGACCCGCGCTTGTGGCTGCAGCTGTGGGCTCGCGCAAAGCAGGTGGACGTGAATGATCGAGTGATGCACGAGCAGAACTGTCTCGTGGACATGATGTTCTACGCCTCCACCTTCGACCAGCTGAATGTCCCCGCGCTGGCCAGCTTCGAGGTGCTAGCGCGACGGTTCCAGACCATCCTAGATGCGTACAGGATCCCGGGGCGAGCCCCGAACTGGCAGATGGCTCGCTTCTACAGTGGAGTGACCGCGGCGGTGGACGCCATCGCGCCCGAGCTGCGGCAGTACGGGGCGAAGCAGGCGAAGGAGGAGATCGACGTGGAGACGGGGACCCAGCGGGTTCGCGGCCTCCCTGGAGGTGGCAGTGGAGCCGGCGGCGACGACGCGCTCGAGGGCACAGCCGGCGAGGGGCCGAGGGGCCGGGGACGAGGACGTGGTGACGGCGGTCGCGGGCGTGGCAGGGGCGCATTGCCCAAGGCCGGAAACCCCGCGGCCGCCGAGAAATCATGAGCGAGGAGATCGCCGAGGGGAATGGGCCCCCCCTCGGCGCGCAGCTGACTTGGCCCGGTGCTGGGCGCCTTCCAGCCTCTCGCGGAGAACGCCATCTGTTCCCATTACCGCGGCTGGAGGAGCCACATGCAGCACGTGGAGGCGGTCGTCTTAGCCGCGGGCTGCGAGGTCGCTATCTGCACGTACGACTGGTCAACAGGGCGATCGACGCCCTGAACTGGTTGGCGAAGGCGGCCGGCTCGCCTGCAGCCGGCAGTGGCGGCGGCACGGACATCCACAGCGAAGTGACTGCGCGCGTCGATGGGCTGGTACGAGCCCAGGAGCCGGTGCCTGACGCGCCTTCGCCGAGAGCGGCCTATCTAGAGCTGCTCCGAGGTCGCGGGTCCTACGAGGAGCCGGGCCAGCCGAACATAGCTCCCTTCCAGCTCGGGCTCGTGTCACTGCCGGAGAGCGCCCAGGACGCCCCGCGCCTGGAGCGGCTTCTCGACGCAGAGGGCCTACGTTTTCTGGAGGGTCGTGGAGAGCGGATGCTACGAAGTGTCCCAGACTTTGAACGCCTCCGACAGAGCGATCCAGCGCGGCCTCACCTGGACCCAGCGTTCACAAAGAGTAGGCGGCTACTGGTTCGATTCATGGAGAGGCTGCATTCCAGTGGCATGCTGCGATATATGTCGGAGCCTGTTGAATTTGTCGGAGCCTTTTTCGTCTGGAAGAAGGGAAGACAGAAGATGCGGATGATTACAGATGCGCGCCCTACCAACCAGCGGCTACTACATCCACCTCGAGTGGACCTGCTGACGGCGGAGGGCCTCTCGCGCCTCGAGGTCGCCGTGGACGGCGACCCGTGCCTGCTGAAGGACTCGAGCTGGGGCATCCTGCGGGCGTTCCGCCTGTGCCTCGGCGTCGGCGACGTGGAGAACTGCTTTCACAGGATGGTGATGCCGCCCTGGATGAGCCCCCTCTTCGCCTTCCCCGCCCTGACCGTTAGCGAGCTCCGCCTAGACTCAGTGGAGACGGTGGAGGGCCGCGTGGCAAGCGGCGATGATGTGGTGTACCCTTGCTGCCGAGCCCTGCCTATGGGATGCTCGTGGTCGTTGTACTTCTGCCAGAACGCCAACACGAACCTGGCGAGGCAGTGCGACCTGCTGCGGGAGGCTCGGCTTGCGACCGACCGCGGCGAGCCCATGGTGTTCAGAGTGGGCGGGGCTCGCGAGCAGGACCTCTGGCACAACGTGTACGTGGGCAACTTGGGCGTGCTGGGGCAGGGCGCGAGCTCAGTCGAGAGGGCGCTGGACGAGAAGGTGGCGGCCTTCAACAAGATGAAGCCCGACATCCACGAGGTGGAGTTCTTCGAGAGGAAGGGGTCGGCTCTCGGCGTCGTCGTGGACTGCGAGCGCCTCTGCACCTCCATCGCCAGCAAGCGGCGCTGCCGCCTGGAGAGGGCTCTGGCCTACGCGCTGCAGCGAGGCAGACTCTCGGGCCAGGATTTGGAGTGCCGCCTGGGCCACTGCACGCATGCGGGCCTGGTGAGGCGAGAGGTGCTCTGCGTCTTCTCCGCCTGCTACGCCTTCGTGCAGGCCAACTACTGGGAGCGGCAGGTGATGTGGGCGTCCGTCCGCGAGGAGCTCAGCTGCTTCCGGGGCCTCCTCGTCTTCCTCAGCAGCGACTGGGCGTTGCCCTGGAACCGCTGTGTCACGGCGTCGGACGCGTCCGAGAGCGGCTTCGGCGTTGCCTCCACTATGGTGGACGTCAAGGAGGTCGCTCGGGTCGGGCGCGTGGCCGAGCGGAGCCGCTTCCGCCTCGACCTGGAGCTGGCGCCGCGGCAGCGTGCTATGCGGCATGCGGGCTTCGTCGATGACGGCGGCTCCGGGCCGCGGCGCCCTTCGGCGCCCGAGGAGGCATCGGGCGGCGCCTGGGACATCGACGAGAGTTTCGAGGAGGTGCCGGCCGGGTGGCTCGACCAGGGACGCTGGGCCGTCTGCCGCAGCGGGACCTGGGATAGGGCTGAGGGCATCGCCATTTTGGAAGCCCGTGCAGTCCTGGCCTCGGTGCGCCGCCTCGCCCAGTCGCGGTGGGGCCGCGACATCAGGCACGTGCATCTTTGCGACAACATGGGAGTCGTACTGTCGATCTGTCGGTCTCGATCAAAAGAGTTCTCGATGTTGGCAGTCATCAGACGCATCAATGCATACCTCCTAGCTCGCAACATCCGTCTCATCGTCCGCTGGATCCCGAGTGAGCTCAACGGGGCGGCGGACGAGGCCTCTCGCATTTTTGATGATAACGCTTCCTGCTCATTGGCCTGGTGCATCCCGTCTCATATATCTCGGCCAGACACCCAGGACCCCAAGGAGCCCCACGGAAGCCACGTCGTCAGCAAGCAAACGTCGGAGCCTCTTTATCACCATCATGAGCAAGAATGTGAACACGAGCTTCTGGGTAACAGTCATCATAAAGTACAAGAAGATAGCCAACATCATTACGGTCATTCAGTAAATCCACACAACGTTAGCGATATAGACGTTCGTGAACATCGTGAATTACATCATGAACACCATGAATTTCATCAGCAGCCAGCCTACTCCAGCAGCCAAGCTTACATAGCGGAGCAGCAGCCAAGCCCGAACATCATGAATTACATCAGCAGCCAGCCTATTCCAGAAAATCCTGAGCAAGACTCTGGACCGTCGGTTGCCCCCTTGGCTCGAAGCAATGAAGCGCGCCCCGGCCGCGCGGAAGAGCCGAACCCTGTCGGCCCCCGCCCATGCGTCAGGAGCGCGGGCCCGTGGCAGCAGCGCCCCAGGGCCCACGCCCGCGGCGGCGCCTTCGCGCCTTTCGAGGGCGCGCGGACTGGCAGCCGCCCCGAGGCAGGGGTGCCACGCCTCGGCCCAGCCGCGGCGAGAGCGCGCCTTGAGCCTCCGGCCTGCAGCCGGCCTCGCCCCTCTGCCAGCGGGTCGCCAGGCAGCCACGACTGCCAAGACGCTGGAGCAGATGGCGGCGGCCTTGACCGACCTCACGAGCGGCAACTTCGCCGAGCCACCCGATCGTCGTCATCGGAAGCGCTCGCCCTCGTCGAACACTGGCACCACATCCGTCAGCGAGGGCGTCGGCGCCAAGCGCCAGCGGACGCCGCTGGACCAGTCCAAGTCTCGCCTCCGCAAGTACCTCGAGGAGGCCATGGAGGCGCAGAGCGACGGGCTGACGCTGCTGGAGAAGCGGGCTGTGACAAGGCCCGTGCACACAGAGTACAGGCTGGAGGTGAGCAGATTCAAGCAGTTCGTCGAGTCGAGGGGGAAGGACGTCGACAGCATCGGGGACGACGTGCTGGACGGCCTTTTCGCCGCATACTTCGAGAAGACTTTCTTCGCCGGCGTGGAGGCCTCGAGGGGGGCCAAGACGCTGGCGGGCTGGCTGCGCCTCCACCCGGCCTACAACCGCCCGGGCTCAAGGCGGCTGCCCTGGGCCCGGCGGGCCCTCCGAGGCTGGTACAAGTTGTGCCCCGGCCGCTCGCGGAGGCCCGAGGCCCTAGGCGTGTGGTTTGGGCTCATGAACGCCCTGGTGATGGCTGGGCGTCGCGACATGGCGCTGTTCGTGCTGATCATGCTGAGCACCTACCTGAGGCCAGGACAGCTGCTCGGCATGCAAGGCTCAGGATTGACGCCGCCTACGCCCGGAGTGACGTCCCACTGGTCGCTGCTGGTTCACCCCGAGGATACGGCGAGCAGAAGCAAGATAGGCGACGCCAATGTATCCATCCTCCTGGACTCGAGCTGGGCGACGTGGATCGGCCCGGCCATGGAAGAACTGAAGGAGAGCGCAGGGGAGGGACCTCTGTGGGCTTTCGACTACGGCGACCTGCTGAAGTGCTTCCGGCGCGCTGCGCAGGAGATCGGGGTGCCCAAGTTAGTGCCCTACCAAGCCCGCCACTCGGGCCCGCCCATCGACGCGGCCAGGCATCTGAGGACCCTGGCCGACATCAAGAAGAGAGGTCAGTGGCGCAGCGACAAGAGCGTACTGCGCTACGAACGACATGCACGTCTCGCCAGCGGATACCGCCAGCACCCGATCGAGGTACAGGTGTACGCCTCCGAGTGCGAGCGACGTGCCGAGGCGATCATCCTCCACGGACTGGTCGTCCCGCTGCCGCTAAAGGGCGGCCGCTCGTGAACGATATCTATTTTGCCGACGAGTTTGCCGGCGAGGGCGGCGTGGC